CAAATTTTATTGTTTCAGAGACTTGGTAAGTGAGTGAGAAGGCCATAATAAAGCCTGTCCACTCACCAACGAGTGTATAAGTCAGGGAAAGTCTTGAGGGGACCCCTGTGAAGACGAGCAGAACTCCATTCCCTGCAGCCCTTACATCCTGGAAGCTGAGGTGCCTTCGCACGGACGAAGACTGAGGATGACGACGAAAGATGTATTTTTAATAATGTTTATTTATGTGTATTTTTATATTCAGGAAGGTAGAGGTACCGACACTCCTAGCTGTGAGGTATGCATTAAGACTACAAGAACAGGTAACCATATATCCCAGACCCTAATTTGGCATTCGCAATATGAGTGTAAAGGAGATGTATCAAGATGTAGATACTTAAATATAGAATATAGTGTGTGTCATTTAGGAGTAGGAGAACCTAAGTGCTTCAGTCCTGAGTATCAACCCCGTACAATTTGGTTGACTCTCAGAAATGGAGATCCTCAGGGAACCCTAATTAATAAGACGGTATTAGAATCCGTATATTCTTCAGGTGCTCTGCTATTTGATGCGTGTAAAGCAATATCAAGTGGTAGAAAGCCGTGGAATGTATGTGGGGATCTTAGATGGGAGAGGACGTATGGGTCTAACGATAAATATATTTGTCCCAGTAGTAAAAATAGATATGTAAGTCCAAGATGTCCAAATAGAGATTATAACTTCTGCCCATATTGGTCTTGTGTGGGGTGGGCGACTTGGGGACAGACAGTAGACAAGGACATGATTGTGACTAAGTTGCCTATTGATCCATATTGTAAGTCTATGGAATGCAATCCAATCCATATACTTATAAATAACCCTGACAAGTTCTTAGATAAATATGGTAATTTATTTGGGTTTCAAATATATGGGACGGGTTTAGACCCTGGGACAATATTGTTTATAGGGATAGAGACTGATACGGTAACCTCCCAAACTCATCAAGTATACCATTCCTTTTATGAAGAGATGAGCATAGATAATAAGATCCCCCATAATGCTAAAAACTTGTTCATTGATTTAGCCGAGAGTATTGCCGGTAGTCTTAATGTTACCAACTGCTATGTGTGTGGAGGTACTAACATGGGAGACCAATGGCCTTGGGAAGCAAAGGAGGTAATGTCCGGTTCTGAGGCAGTTGACCAATTAATATCTATACAAGCCGACTATCATATGAGTGTTAGAGGTAAATCTGAGTGGAGATTGAAGACCTCCATCATAGGTTATGTTTGCATAGCGAGGAAAGGAATGATGTATAATACTTCTGTAGGAGAATTAACTTGTCTAGGGCAAAAAGCTTATGATGATGATACAAAGAATACAACTTGGTGGTCGGCTTCAAATGTCTCAGAACCATCTAACCCGTTTGCAAGATATGCCAATTTAAAGGACGTATGGTTTGATCTATCCATCACATCTAACTGGAGAGCCCCAGCGAATTTGTACTGGATCTGTGGTAAGAAGGCCTATTCGGAGTTACCACAGGACTGGGAAGGGGCATGTGTGTTGGGTATGTTAAAACCATCCTTCTTCTTGTTGCCTATTGAAACAGGTGAGACTTTAGGTGTTAAAGTGTATGATGTGAATCATAGGAAGAAAAGGGGACCCATAGAGATAGGTGCCTGGGAAGATAATGAATGGCCTCCCCAGCGTATTATAGATTATTATGGGCCAGCCACGTGGGCAGAGGATGGTACCTTTGGTTATAGAACCCCTATTTATATGCTCAACCGCATTATAAGGTTACAGGCGGTGGTTGAGATCATTACTAACGAGACATCACAAGCGCTCAATCTTCTAGCGAAGCATAATACCAGGATGAGGACAGCAGTTTACCAAAATAGATTAGCCTTGGATTATCTTTTGGCAGTAGAGGGAGGTGTATGTGGGAAGTTTAACCTGAGCAATTGCTGTCTTCAAATAGATGACGAAGGGCAAGCAATAGCTGAGCTTACTAGCCATATGGTTAAACTAGCGCATGTGCCTACTCAGGTATGGAAAGGGTACAATCCAAGTAGTTGGTTTGGTAGCTGGTATGAGTGGTTTGGAGGGCTTAAGGCAGTGGTAGGTGGAGTCCTACTGATTTTAATGTTGTGTCTACTCCTGCCGTGTCTTATACCCTTAGTAGTTAGGTCTGTGCAAAGCCTGATAGAAAATATAGCAGAGAGGAAGGCTGCTGCACAGATAATGGCAATTTATAAATATAAGGCTCTAGATCAGGGAGAACTAATGCAGGAAGATGAGTGTTGAAGATTCACATCATAGGATAAGTCTGGTCTGGTTCAAAGGTAACTTGTGGTGTATGTAAACCAAGGTTAAGTGATGCCTCAAGTAATTGTAAAATATCAAGAGGCATCAAAGGGGGGAATGTGGTGGAATCTCGGTAAAAATAAATTTAGTAGGCCGAGATTACCACGTGGCATGTGTACGTGCATATGCTGACGTATCGATCAGTTGGTTGCACGAGGCAAGATACGATCAGTAGTGTACGGAGCATGTGCAAGAATACAGGATGTAGTATTCCCCTCCTCCATTGTGCTGGACAAGCCATGTGGTCAAGCAGGAAGTTAATTCTTATTTGTAATGATTGGTCAAGAGAATGTGCGGGTGGAGCTTAATATGGGAGGAGTTATGTGCCTATATAGGAAGCCTGCACTATTGTTCAGGGCTCAGAACTTGCTGTATTTTTGGTGACATTAGTCCCTCTGAGTCCCGATCGGTGATCCAATAAAGAATCTCTTCCTTCCTGAAGAAACCTGTGTCCATCCCTCTGTGCTTTGCTTCCGTCAGTTTCTCCGGTATCAGTAGCTGTATACTTTATTATAATGCCAACAGCATAGCGCTAAAGGTCAGAAAAGATTCCTGTGTGTCCAACTTGTCTGGTTACAATTACATGTTTGTACCTATTGTACAGCGCTGCGGAATTCGTTGGCGCTATATAGAAATAATAAAGAATATTTTCCCCCCATCTTTTCTTTTGCTAGCACTGGCTAGTGCTATATATAGATAAAATACTATGTTCTTTAAAAGTGACAACAGGTTGAATCTGCCATTCTGGGGTCAAGAAGGACATTTTGTTTCCTAGTTTGTTGCAAAATTGGAAGTGCTTCAAACTGGTTTTTTTTGCCTCCTCTGGATCAACAGCAAAAAACAGATAAGGGGAAGGCTGAGCTTAAAGGACACATGTCTCTTCTCAGCCTATGTAACAACAGGTTATGTTTGGAATAACTGGTACATGTTAAACCTGTTAAAGGAACAATCAAGGGACCCTAACCACAAGTGTGCTGTAGTGGTTGCAGTGCCACGGGGGGAGGGGGGGAAGCACTGTAAGATTTTATAGTACCAGGAAAACTTGTTTGACTCCTTTCAAGTGTGTGGGTGCAAGGGGAATCCTTAAAAATGTACTCACCACAGCAGAGAATTTCAAATTTGAAATTTTGAGCTTTGCTGGACACCATAAGCACTAAAACATTATTCAGTTGTTATGGTGCTTGGAGTGTTCCTTTAATGATTGACAGGGGAATTTCCGGATGGCTCTAGGTTGGAAAATTCCACAAATATTTAGAAAGTCAAGAAAAATGATTTGAATGCAGAATGAATTTGTTGCATTTGTTTTGCTAGGAAAATAATAGAACTGTTCAGAACCAAATAATTAGAAATAAATATAATTTCAAGTCAAAAAAGCAAAACATGCATGCAGTTAAGTTAAATTACTGTCCTTCTCTTATGATAATGTAATGATTGTGTGCAGGTCAGATAGGAGACTTATGACAGGGTTGTTATTTGAGATTTATTGGTGCTTTTAGACATAATATATAAATTGAGGAAAAACAGAATTAAGGCAATATGCCACAAAACAGGATACTTGCAAAATGATAAAGAGAGGCAGGCTGGTAACAGTAGAAGGCTGATAACGGAGGCAGGTTTGTAACACAGGAAGGCTGTTAACAGAGGCAGAGATCAAAATCATACTTGAGAGTGGAGCAGGTTTGAATGCAAGTCTGGAGCAGGTTGGTATGAAGCAGGGTTGAAGGTAAGTCTGGAGCAGGTAGGTATGGAGCAGGGTAGAAGGTAGGTATGAAGCAGGGTAGAAGGTAGGTATGGAGCAGGGTAGAAGGTAGGTATGAAGCAGGGTAGAAGGTAGGTATGAAGCAGGGTAGAAGGTAGGTATGAAGCAGGGTTGAAGGTAGGTATAGAACAGATTCACAGGAGGCAGGAACTGAAGTCTTTCAGGTAGATCACCAACTTCAATGTAAAGGCCCTTTTGTGAGCAGGGTGTAGCCTTATGTAGCTGAAGCAAATAATTAGTCCTAGGCAGGTGAGGACTGAGGTGACTAGTGGCTAGGGAGGCCACTAGTAGTTGAGAGCTGGGACTTCTTTTTAAAGGAACAGAAACAAAAGGAAGATAAAGCATAGCTGTCAGGATACAATCCTGACAGATAATCTGTCATTTAGATTCAGCCTGGCGTGGATTGTACAACTGTTAGGGAAAAGAAATGCGCCTTTTTTTTTAAAGCGTTATCTCCCTAAATTATTGTTTTTTTCACCCAAGTTCCTTTTTAAAAGAATCGAAATACTGGTTAAGTTGCAGTTTTGTTTCATCGACGTCAATCTCAGGTATTCACAAATTCTTGAGTGGAAAAAAATAAATGTTAATTCGGACCAAATAGAAAAATACACAAAACACCCACGTTGCTCAGGAATTGTCTCCAAGTTATTACACAAGCTTAAATAAAGTCTGCTAGCAACACAGTTGAAAAGTAAACAAAAACATTGTACGTGCATATTAACCTGGTAAGGTTATATGATGACTGCATGCTCAAACTTGCTGCATTTGACCATTTTAATAGTGCAGTTTTATTGTTACCAGCTACTTGTAATACGGCTTAGGTTTCATTGTTGGATTGTTTGCAAAAAAAATTTAAAAAATGCCATGTGTTTCTAAAATAAATAGAAAGGGTAAAATCTCGCTTTTGAGCTTCTGTTTCCCAGGAATGATGTAAGTGAGAGAGCAAAATCAGCTGCATGTTAGGGGCTGGGCTTCCATGATAAAGCTAAAAACATTCCCTGCTCAGATGACAGAGAAATGAAACTGAAAACCGAAAGTAGAATTTCCTCTATGGCTATATAAAGCAGCCTGAGTCTGACAAAACCAAAATGCTTAGAGACTTTAACCAGGAAGGACGCATTGAGAATTGCATTTGGCTGAACTGCTGTTAGAACACGTTCTTGCAATGGCTGATAGCAGCAGTGAAGACGTCAACCTGTTCATGATAAAATGCTTTCGAGACAGGCTTATCAAGACCATCCAGATTACATCAGTTTTAGATCATTTGCCGTCACTCAGTGCTGAGATCCAAACCAGAATAAAAGCTGAAGTTCAAAATTGTGGAGAGCTCTCAGCAACAAAACTGCTATTGGATCACATAGAACGAGGTCCCCGAGACTTGGGATGGTTTGAAGAATTTGTTAACGCTTTGAAGGAGACTGAATGCTCCCAAGCTGAATTATACGTATCTCCTGAAAAAATTCCATCCCCTTCACTGGAGGCAAAGCACGATGAGTGTGAACAACTCATTCGTATTCTATGCCCAGAACTTGTTAAAAAGTTAGCACCGAGAGAAACAAGTCAAGAGTGCTTCGCGTGTGGGATTTGCACTCTAGAAGATGTAGATGTGGTAAGTTTGAATCACTGTTGTGGTTAAAGGGACATTATAGTCACCAAAACAACTACAGCTTAATGTAGTTCTGGTGAGTATAATCATTGTCTTCAGGCGTTTTCAGAGAAAAGGCAGTGTTTACATTGCCCTTTACGGACACCTCCATATTGCCACTCCTCAGATGGCCACTGGAGGTGCTTCCTGGGGCACTGCTGCACAGTAGGTAGCACTGCTGTTAGGTGTCTCCACGCTCTGCATTGAGACGCCAACATTTTCTCATAGATATGCATTGATTCAATGCATCTCTATGATGAGGTGCTGATTGGCCAATCGTATTATTTTCATCCACTTGTATCTTTTAAATGTAATTTTCTGATGGTTTACTATGTAACAGTTTTGCATTTTGCTGATTGAGCTTACTGCTAAGCAATGTTCCTGACCAGCCTAAAACAATTAGTTAAAGGGACACTAGAGTCACCAGCTTATTGTATTTGTTATTTTAAGTATAATCTGTCCCTTAAGGCTTTTTACAGTAAACACTATTTTTTCCAGAGAGCCTAGGGACACCTCCTCTGGCCACTACTCATATGGCTACTAGAGGTGCTTCCTGTGAAAATGCTGCACAATTGAAAGCACTGCCATTCAGGGTCTCCACCCTATACATGGAGACACTGAACTTTCCTCATAGAGATTTGATTCAATGCATCTCTATGAGGAGATGCTGATTGGCCAGGGCTGTGTTTGGCTTGTGCTGGCTCTGCATCTGACCTGCCTCCTAGACAGTCTCAGCCAATCCAATGCTTTCCTATGATGTCAGTCAAGTTGACCGATCAGGGGCAGAGTCAGCAGCAGCAGATAGGAGTAAAGGTAAGATTTTACTATATTTAGGGAGGGCAAGGGGGGCTAAGGGGCTAGATGGTGGTTTTAACATTGTAGGATCAGGAATACGTTTGTGTTCCTGACTCTATAATGTTCCTTTAACTTTGTCTTTTTTTGGCCTAATATATTTGTGTCACACAAACAGTCCCTATCCCCTTCATACAATACAGCCCAATTTCCTTCCCCAAAACACCATAGAGCCACTATCTCCCCAAATACAACCTGCTACAGCTCCCTCCCAAAAACATACCATACAACCCATATTCCCCTCAAACACACCCTACATTCAATATCCCTGCACACCCTACAGCCCAAATCCCAATACACCCCACATTCTCCCCAAACATACCCTATAGCCCCCATCCTCCTAAACACACACTATAGCTCCTATTCACACATATATTACAATGACCGCAAAGAGTCCCATCCACCAAACACACATATGATCCACAACAGCCTCCCTCCCACACGTGCAACTTTACAAGCAGTCTCCCCACAAACACAACTCCACAACCTTGGGATAGCAAGGAGGTTAAATTCCTGCCCCTTCGACTGGGACCAGCTCATACCTCGCATCCTGTCAGCCATCTCTGTCATGTTTGGCAAACTTCTAAATACACACTTCTTTATCCAAGGATTCTCTGATACTCAATAACTCGTTCTCAGGTTGGCTCCCTGATTTGATCTCTTTCCAATATCCCAGATCATACCTGTGCACCTATCATCCTGATCCTTACATCTCTTAGCCATAACCCAATCAGTTTTGAGGAAAATATATACCAAAGCCTAGTGTAACTTATTGTTTTATTTTTTGTTCTATGTAACCTAGTTTATGGAGTTAGCCCCTCTTATTCGCATGCTCAGGATATGCCCATGAATATCTTGAACAAGGGGTTAAGCTTCTTACAAAGAAGGGGTTAACCAACCATCTTATGTCTTTAGGTACAGGAACGCGATCTTCAGGTAATATATAAAAGATAAAAGGAGAGAACAAACGATGGTGCAGAATGTACGGTTCAAATGAAGTAAAAATTGATTAATGATAACGAACTCACAATTTCCAGAGCTTCTGTCCAGCTCTAGGGTAAAGCGCACACAGCGGTATAATCCCCGCTTATGGGATTTATGATGGGTTCGTCAGGGTATCCAAAACTCAAAGGAAACAGAAAAAGCCAAATAGTGCTCTCTGTATAACTGTATATTGTAAAAGAGAATAAAAAAAACGTACTTACAAGTACAGAGCAGACCAACTGCTCTTTGATGTCAGCGCTGGTGGAATAATCCCCACCTATGGATTTCTTTGGTGTCAGGAACTTGTAGAGATAGTATTAAAATCGGAATAGAGTGTATATAAAATATAACAATGAACTAAAACGATAAATAGCCAGGGTACATGTATAAATAAAAGTAGTTGGGACTATCAGTTAACCAAAAACTTTAATATTTATTATACAAAATAAAATTTCCATAACGCGTTTCGTCTAACAGACTTTATCAAATGGATAAATTTCCAATAAATCTGGAAATTGTGAGTTCGTTATCATTAATCAATTTTTACATTCTGCACCATCGTTTGTTCTCTCCTTTTATCTTTTATATATTACCTGAAGATCGCGTTCCTGTACCTAAAGACGACAGAGAGGATACCTTTTTAGGTCGGACTTTTTATCTTCAATAACTATTGATACTGGACACTGTTTATTCTGGCACAGCCCTCCTTTTATATTTTGCTTTTATCCTGTATTTTAGGGTTTTGGGGGGATTCCCTTGTTGGGTTGCTGCCTTACAGGTTGTCTGGCGCTGTCTCTTTTCCTTTATTTATTTAACCATCTTATGTGCCCATCTTTAACCCCAAAATGGCTGGGGTTTCCCCTGCACAAATCACATTCTAGTGAGTGGAGCCAAATATAGGAAAGAACTTTATAAAAGCCTCCCCCAGCTTGAAATTACTGTTATTGGCTGGCTTGGAAGGGCCAGCGCTACCATAAGGTGGCACAGGCAGCCGCCTTAGGGCAGTGCAGGATCCATTTGTCCATCAGGAGGAGAGCGCACATCGCTCCCCTCCTGCATGTCACTCCATGTAGCGTGGTCCAGCCGCGGACCCCAGACAGCGCCAAACTGCTTCCTATCAGACTTGCTCAGCCACACTTCAAGAGGGAGGGAGGTGAGTTGGCACCGGGATGGGGGGGTGGGGGGAGTAGGGGAAAGAAGAATACAAGGGATGCGGGAGGGGGGGGGGAATATCCAGAGAGGCTGGGGGGAGGGGAGTTGTATAGATAAAGAAGGACTAGTGGGATAAAAAGAGACACAGAGTGGCTGAGGATTGGGTAAGAGAGACACATATGGGCTAAGGGGGGAAAGACTTACACAAGAGCTGGGAGGAAGAGACACACAGAGAGGTTTGGAAGGGGAGAAAGAGACATAAGAGACATAGAAAAGGGGCTTGGGAAGAAATAGATACACAGGGGTATTGGTGGGGACAAAGTGAGACAGAGGCCGAGGCAAAGCCATGGACCACAAAGAGTGGCAAACTGCTTCCTGTCAGACCAGGGGGAAGGAAGCAGGAGCTCCTCTACTGCGTTCCGCTGCTCAGCCATGCTTCAAGACGGAGGGAGGTGAGCTGGGGTGGGATGACAGAAACAGACAAGGGCTTGGGGGGGGGGGAGTGGAAACAGCCAGAGTGGCTAGTGGGACACAAACAGACACAAAGTGGCTAGGGGGATATAAAGAAAGGGGCTAGGGAATGGGCATAAAAGTCAGACAGTGGTGGGGGAAGGGGCAACAGAGACCAACAATGCACTTGGGGGAGAAATCCAGAGTAGCTGGTCAGAGACAAAGAAATACAGAGGGGCAGGGGGAGAAAGAGACACACAGCGAGACTGGGAAGAAGAGAAAGACACACACAAAGGGCTAGGGGGGGAAAGAGACATACAGAGGGGCTGGCTGAGAAAGAGACTTAGAGGGGGTGTGGAAGGGGAGAAAAAAGACACACAAAGGAGCAGGGAAAGGGGAAAAGACACAGAGAGAATAAGAAAGGGGACAAAGACACCCAAAGGAACTGGGGGAGAAAGATGCACACAAAGGAGCTGTAGTAGAAAGACACACAAGGGAGGTGTAAGAAACACGAAGAGGGAAAATGGGGGCAAGATTCACTAAAGGGAGTAAGACATTCAAAAGAAAGGATGGGGAATACAAATTGGGATAAAAAGTTAAAGAGGGGGATTAAGGGGCACACAAGTGAAGATGCATTTTGGAGGAATACAGGGGGGCAGAAAAATGCTTCCTTTAATGGGTACCCAGAAATCCTTGCACCAGCTCTAAGTTTCACTGCATGCAAACTCTGTCTGGTAGTAGGTATTTTCTAAATAAAGATGGTAACCCTGTAACTTAATGAAGTCCTTATAGGGCTAAAACAAGGTCAAAGAAACTAGGTGTCTCCTGGGCCCCATTATCATGGCCCTTCACTCTACAGCTCAAGAGATGAAAGAAAGTTTAGGGGCCACTTGTTGGGCTCCAATCCAGAACTTTTTTTAAAATTGGCTTTAATTTGTGTTTGTGTTAATGTGCCTCTCAGTGCTGCAGTGGAGAGCAGCATACTTCAACTTGCAGAAATGCTTTATAGGTTTACTGAAGTTCACCTCTCTATTTTTTTTAAAAGTGCTGGCTCTTTTATAAAGCACCTAGCTTGAGTGGTCTCAGCTTTAAATCAGAGTGTGCTCTTCCTCATTCTCTTTAAGAACTTGTTTGAAGTGGCCGTGAAGGCTTCTCGTACAGAAGCATTTGATTAAATTCTCTAGATAAATATCTAAGTGGCCCAGTGTTGTCGGACCTCAATGCTTCTTTATGAATAGCATTGGTTTGGCTGTGAGATCATCGCTAGTCCACTGAGGTGAGGAGACCTTCTTGCCTCTGGATTGCAGGTAAGGAGCAGGATTTTTTAGCACACTAGTGAAAAGGACCCTGAATCTAAATCAGTTTTTCAATTCTCCTTTAATAATAATTCTGGAGTACTGTCACGACAAGTGACCCAAACACGCAGAATATAACCCAAATAGAAAACGTATTACCGGACCTTAGATTGGCCGGGTTTAACGTAGGTAGTATAGCCAAAGTCAAGGAAAACCAGAGATCAGGATAACGATAAGGAATAGCCGAGTCAGGGAACCAGAAAACAGGATACACGGGAAAGCGAGCCAAGTCAAGATACCAGAACGAAGAATAGTAAATAAACACAAGCCGAGTCAAAATACCTAGATACAGACAGATAACAGGATAGCACTAGAGGGAACAACCAGTATACTACAATAGGGCACTGAACAAAAGCAAAATGTCAGGGAGCGTGGAATATTTAGAATTTTCACAGCATAGCCGCTATGACATTGGCGCCGCGTCATAAAAGGAGGCATGCAGAGAGCATCCAGTGTCTGACATGCTGTGCTGTTGATGAGAGGAGTCGGCACCCGGAGCGACACCTCGCATGTCCACGGGAGAAAGATAAGGTATCGTGACAAGTACTCTTTTACTTTTTTTATTCACTTTATGAAGCAAAGCTTTAAGTCAGCCAGGGGGCCAGCTTCGTGACTGATTACAGTAAGGAAGCAGATTCCAGGGCCAAATTCATTTGATTGATTGACTTTAACCCACTCACTGTGGAATACACTAATGATATATAAGCCAGAAAATGGAAGCTATTTTGTCTTTCTATGGCGTCAATCGGATACTATGTAAGAATTGTCTAATCTTTAAATGCTGGACAATGTAATGATTACAATAAATATCTTTAAAGTGATGGTTTATATTTTTTCTTGCAGATAACTACTAAATGTCGACAGAATGGAGCAATAGCAGCAAGCAGAGAACTTCTCACTAGGATAACAAAAAAGAAAGATTGGTTTTCAAAATTTGTGAGCGTGTTACGTAAAATGGAATATAATGAGCTTGCCAATTATTTAACAGGAGGCACATTTGAAGATTGTACAGGTACTCATCTTTCCCACTCACTATGCATCTATTCACTATTAACATTTTATTTTCTTTATCCCTCAAGGTTTACATGCTGTACAGTCATCAGCATGACTCGGGGATTAAAGGGTTGTTTTCCTTGCACTATAGTTCCCTATACAGCCCCACTCCCTCCCCGTGGTGCAGAAGGAGTTAATAGCCCCTTCTGTCACTTACCTCAATCCAGCACCGATGTCTCTCAGTGCTGGCTCTGGTCCGCCTCCGGCCCTTGCCTCCAACATCAGCTGGCGGGGGAGACCGCCCTCGCATTAGGGCTTCACCCAAAGGAAAGCATTATACAATGCTTTCCTATGGGAATTCGGGTGATGCTGAACGTCCCCATGCATTGCCTTACAACTCTCAAGGCTTACAAAAACACTTCTTTAACTCTTCAATCATATATTTGCCATCAGATCTTCTTCGTCCAGTTCATCAGCCTCCTGACTGTTTATAAGCCCCTTTACCAACATTACTGTCACAAACGCACTCTACTCAAGAGTGTGCGTGACGTAGTTGTGTTGGTGAAAGGGTTAAAGTTCACTATTTGTCTGCACTAGACAGGAAATAATCATAAAATCCCACTTAACATCACCCACACCTAACCATAATAATACAAATATTACTATTTTAACACTGCCACCACCAAGACAATTTATAAATGGGGTGTCTTGGCCTCCCAGGTAACTTATTAATAAAAACCCATCAAATACAATGTAGCACAATATCTAAGCAATTGCAAAACACTAATAAGTCTCTTCAGGTAATGTGATTCTTTACCAGACAAAGACAGAACTTAATAAATGAATACACAGTGCATACAAAAATATAGATGATAAATTATTGACACCAACAGATAAAAACAAAAAGGATAAAATAACAGAAGTCCTAATTACTTACTCAGGTTTTCAAAATAAAACTTCTGCCTAGGGGGTCTCTGGCAAGGAAGATGGTGACTCACTCAAAATCAGATTTTGACCCCAAGCAAGTCCTAACACATTTCAGAATTATTAGATATATACCCTGTGAATTACCAAGTCTTGCCCAGGGGTGGAGTTAAGGCGTACCTGTAGAAACAATAAGTGACCACACCCCTGTGTTCCAGACCAACATCAATCAAAATGGAAACATTTGGTTCAATCTCCTCTTATGTACCTGCTACAGAAATAATAATTGCATCTATGATTTTGTTACCATTTTTTCATTCCATCGATATGTCACACTCCTTATCTGTAACCCAATATAGCGGACATCACAATCGCTTCCCATATGGGTGTCAAGGTTAATACTCCCCAACACGCAAACCAGGGAACAATAAAGGTGACACAGATAGACGTATTACCGGACCTTAAAGTGGCCGGACTTAACATAGGAACGAGGGAAGAATAGTCAAACACGCCAAGGTCAGGAATACAGAGATACAGAAAAGCAAAATAGACAGAGCCAAGGTCAGGGAGTCAGAAAAGAGAATAACCGATAAACAAGCCGAAGTCAGGAACCAGAGAAAAGACAACTACTCAGAACGCACTCTCGGGCTATAATAAACCATGACAGGGCAAGGAAGTGATGTCAGAAGGAGGTTAATATAGGGCAAGGTGAATACTGATAGGCAGGGACAGAACTGAAGGAGGTATAAATAGGTAGTGGCAATAAGCTACTATCTCTTTAAAATTGGATTCCACGTCACCCCTGCCGGTTACCTTGTGCGCGTGCGCACATCCCCGGGCTCCCTCCCAGACGCGCGCGCGCCCCCCGCCAACAATCCACACCGCCCGACAGGAGAGGACGGATGGCGGGACCGGGACGTCGTGGGACACCAGGTATGACAATGGGTAAGTTACGCAAATCATGTTTAGGCTTCATTAGCAGATTGTGCTTGTCCCATTCTAAATATAATAAAAGAGGCTTAATTATTATTCTGTGGGTAAGTATTAATGTTTGGATATGATACTGGAAGGCTGTTTTTTTTTCTTTCTTGAAAGCTAATGATCATTAACATAAATAATAAATTAATTAATTCATCAATCAAGAGGTACAGGGTTGACGTCAGTTAGTTTACATTGGAACTAGACATCCAGGCATCTCAAGTGTAGAATTTCACACCTTGCAGAGCCTTTGATTAATCAAAGTATCAATCCATGTTGTAAACCACCTGCCCCCTTTTACATTCCTATACTATTTACATTTACATTACCCCTTCTGTCATTTGACCTTGCAACACAAATTACATTAAATGGCAATATTCTATTGTGCAACAATGAATTATGCACCCTTGGTGTGACAATTACCTTCTCCCATTCCTGAGTCATTGCTAGCACTTCATTTTTTTTAAGCAAACATGATTAACTCAGGGCAAAAGATGCAGTTGCTCATATCCCAACATTCTACTCTTCTACAAGAACCCACAAAATGTGCCCCTTGTGTACCTATACAACAGCAACTGATTTTTTAATTTATTTTTTAACAGGAACCCAGTACACACTTAGTTCGGCCTTGTAATCATCCATCTGGCATATTATTTTTCTTGCCTGCTACGTGCAATTGCTGGGAAGCCTGGCCATAGCTTCGTTTAGCTTAGTTCTTCCACTAATATTAGCTCTGAAACGCTATTGCAATATGACCAGTAAGACTGTCTGTGATGGTTACTGGAAAAACAAATTGATTCAGCCGAACATTTTTTATTTTATTTTTTAGTGTCAAGTGATACAACATTCGTCCATGCAATCGTTTCCAGAATAACTATTTGGAAAAGCCAACATGGTGGTAAAATGGGCCACTGCATCTGTGTACTGCAAATTATATACATAATATTATATTTACATTTCTCTTTCTAGCTATCTCTATCTTTCTCTATCATCTCTATCTACACTGATAGGTGCATTTTCCCACCATTAGGTTTATAGTTCACGTAAAAAAGAAGTAGCCAACAGAGCTAAAAAAGGAGGAAAAGCAAAAGAAAATGTATATTAATTATATATTCCTTTAAGGACTCACGACACATGAATCCCACTATGTCAACTGAGGCCAAAGGTCACAGCTATTTTAACCTTAAAGGAACACTATAGCGTTAGGAATACAAATATGTATGCTTAACACTGTAGTGCCCTGGTCAACTTTTAGATGATGACCCTACCAGTGCTGCGAGGCTTGAAAAGATAGTTTACTTACCTTTTGTCCTGTGTTGCCCTGGTTTTGTTGGGGAAGCTCCCTCTTTGTGGCTGTGATCAGTAAAACGCTGTGCTGCGCCAATCATTTGATCTCTCTGAGACCCCCAGATTAAAACTATGTAAAACCCGCTGTTTAACTTTTCTATTTTACAGATCTTTCTCTAGTGACTATCATATTGACAGCCACTAGAGGCAGATTAACCCAGCAAAGAAAACATCGCTGTTCCTGCACAATGGCAATGTTTTCAGCTGCCGTGGCACCCAGATCAGTTTTTTGAGAGGACATGGACTATGTGTCTATTGTCTTCTTTTTACTATGCAATTCAGTTTTCTAGCATTTTTTAGTATCTGCCATGTCCTCCCCATATTTATATGGAGAGTTTTTATATTTGCAATGATGAAGTTCTGTAATGAGTATTTTTTTTCCATAACAGAGATTAATGGGAATGCACAAACAGTGACAGAGAAACACGATTCCAATGGCCACTTACAGCAGGAAGAGAAGATTTGCGAGTCACTTGTGAATAATGAAAATGAAAAGCAGGATCTTGCAAGTGACATCAGAGTTCATGAAATATCATGTCTGGAAAGCTCTGCTCCACCAGGTAATGGATTAAAAAAAAAATAATGTCTTGTACAAACATGGCAGCAAAAGGTGGGAAAATAGATTTTTTTTTTATAACACTTACAGTGGAAAACAGGTGAAAAATATATTTTGCACATCCTCTGTATAAAATATATATATCTATAAATATATATAATTGTGACTGAACAACCAATAATTATTTTAATTAGAAATGAGCCCCTGTTATTTGAAGGCTTTGAATGATAATAATTGTCTGTTTCCAACTTTTTTAAGAGCAAAAGAAGTAAGCCTACATTTTCATCGTAACAGGTAACAATACATTGTTTGCTCTGCAAAATAATAACATTAACCCCTTCGCGACCACAGACGGAAATTTTCCGTCAACCTTGTCCTTCAGTTAAGGACCGTTGACGGAAAATTTCTGTCATTTACCAAAGTTAACCCCAGATCACGGCGATCGCGGGGTTATCGGTGCTCCGGTCTGCCTCTGTATAAGAGGCAGACCGGGAGCACCCAATCGGGCTGCCCCAGCACTGGTGCTCGCTCTGACAGGCTGTCAGAGCGAGCACATGTGCTCAGTATACTCACCTTCCGCCTCCCTGCACTTCCGGGTTCTGTGTGAAGTGAAGTGCAGGGAGACGGATCAGTGTGGCTGATCTTCTCTCTGTATAAAAAAAATAAATAAAGTTAAATCCCACCCCCCTCCCACCGCTTTAATAAAATTAACCCCTTCCCTGCCAATTGATTACTGAGGGTTATTTTTTTTTTTTTTTTAACCATCAGGGGTTACATTTATTTTATTAATTAATTTAAATATTTAAAAAAATTTATATTTAGCTAACTGGGATGGGTGGAAGTTAGTGGGGAATTGGGGAATTTGGTGTTGGGCTAACTAGGGGTTAACGTTAAAAAAGTTTTAAAATAGGCTTTAAAAAGGTAAAAAAAAATGTAAAAAAAAAACACCCCCCTTTACCCAGTCTAAATAAAAATTAACCCCTTCCCTGCCAGTTGATCACTGCCTACAGTGATCACAATACAGATCACAGTATTATACTTTAATCTAATTTCTTTTAACCACTGAGGATTAACTTATTTTTGAACCCTCGGGGGTTCAATTTATTTAATTAATTAATTTCAATATTTTATAATTATATATATTTTGCTAGCTGGAGTGGGTGGGAGTTATGGGAAAGGGGGGGATTTACTGTTAGTGCTGCTTACTGCTAGTTAGAGGTTAACGGTAAAAGAAAAGTTTAGAAAAAAAATGTAAGTGTAAAAAATGTTAAGAAAGTGTAAAACATTTAATAAGTAAAAAAAAAAAATTTTAAAAATGGGTTTTACAAAGTAAAAAAATACATTAAAAAAATGCTCATTACCACTAAACTTGGTACAAGCTAGCGGAAAAATGATCCCACGCTAAGGTTCAAAATAGGCCCTTTGAAATACCCTGGGATGTCTTCTTTAAGAAATGGTATGCTTTTATGGTGTAATTGGATTATATAGCCTTGTAAAATACTCTAAAATGGGACATGGACACAGCGTAAAAATTCAAAATTTGAGAAAAACTGGAATGGCTGTGTCTCAAATGTGCCCCTTCAATGTCCACATATACCTGGCAAAGGTACATATGGGGGTATTGCTGTACTCAGCCGACATAGCTGAGCAACATATGAAGTAGTATACAGTTGTAGTACACATAAGGTTTGCAAAATATACTGCGCAAACTCGCTTTGTGTGTCAAAAAGGCAGAAAAAATGCTTATTACCACTACACTTGGTACAAGCTAGTAGAAAAATTATCCCACGCTAAGGTTCAAAATAGGCCTTTTGAAATACCCTGGGATGTCTTCTTTAAGAAATGGTATGCTTTATGGTGTAATTGGATTATATAGCCTTGTAAAATACTCTAAAATGGGACATGGACACAGCGTAAAAATTCAAAATTTGAGAAAAACTGGAATGGCTGTGTCTCAAATGTGCCCCTTCAATGTCCACATATACCTGGCAAAGGTACATATGGGGGTATTGCTGTACTCAGCCGACATAGCTGAGCAACATATGAAGTAGTATACAGTTGTAGTACACATAAGGTTTGCAAAATATACTGCGCAAACTCGCTTTGTGTGTCAAAAAGGCAGAAAAAATGCTTATTACTACTACACTTGGTACAAGCTAGTAGAAAAATTATCCCACGCTAAGGTTCAAAATAGGCCCTTTGAAATACCCTGGGATGTCTTCTTTAAGAAATGGTATGGCTTTATGGGGTATTTGGATTATATAGCCTGGTAAAATAGTCTAAAATTGAACATGGACACAGCGTAAAAATTCAAAGTTTGAAAAAAACTGGAAAGACTGTCCCAAATGTGCCCCTCCGATGTCCACATATGCCAGGCAAAGGTACATATGGGGGTATTTCTGTACTCAGCCGACATAGCTGAGCAACATATGAAGTATTATACAGTCGTAGCACACATACGACTTGCAAAATATACTGTGCAAACTCACTTTGTGTGTCAAAAAGGCAAAAAAATGCTTATTACCACTACACTTGGTACAAGCTAGCGGAAAGATTATCCCACGCTAAGGTTCAAAATAGGCCTTTTGAAATACCCTGGGATGTGTTCTTTAAGAAATTGTATGCCTTTATGGTGTAGTTGTAATATGTAGCCTGCTCAAGTGCTCCAAAGTGGGACACAGGCGCATCAAAACCCTCCATGAAAATTCACACTTAAAAAAAACTTAACTTGTCACATCTCTTTTACAGCAGTGTAACTTCACAAAATAGTGTCTAGGTCATACATTGTGCATATTGTTTTACTCAGAAGACTTAGCTGAGCATAATGTGGGGTGTTTTCCTTTTCTATAATGTTTTTTTCCCTTTTTAATTTAGGACTTTTTCACAACTGTATATAACCTCTGATTGTACGAATTATGTTTAAAGTATTAGACATCATTCAGTTCACTTTTTCAAATATGTTTCTATTCATTACGATTAGTGAGCAATGTGATTTCTCTGTCATAATAATATGCATCATTTTACAAGGTATCATTTCTACATATTGTTGCACATTACAAAATGATACACATATAGGTTATAATTCATGCAATTTTTTTTTATAATACAAACTGATGAACGTTTTCATTTAACATGTACAATATGCAACAAAATAATGATACATTAGTTAAATGGTGTATGTTATTATTATGATTCTGTGCAAGGCAGGTGCTCTTGAGTTCAATGCAAATAAGCTAACCAAACCAGGAAGTTACAGTTGTCTGCTTGAAAAGTCAGGGGGTGTAACCAGTATAATTTTTTAAAAGTATCAATTTCTAATGAAATCTTCACTATTTCCAAAATGAAAAAAAAAAAAAAAAAAAGAGGACGCACTCTTCACATATAAAGCTTTTCAGCAAGCTAAAGTGGTTTAGTGGTCTGGAGTGTCCCTTTAATAAAATGGGGTCTCATACATTTAAACTGATGTTTAACACAATCATAGGATGAAGAATACTATCCTGCCATGAATTGCAAAATAACAGCCAACTTATATTACATATAATAAGTTTTTTTTCTTAGTTATTGCATTTGCCAAATGTTTAACTAACAGGTAATGTTCCATGCACGCTTAAAACTGATTGTGCTTCTGAAGCCCAAACCACATGTATATCACTTTAAAAACTTAAAGGGACACTGTAGGCACTTTGACAACTTCATATTTTCACCACCATATTAATGAAGTTGTCATAGTGCCTACAGTCCTGTACCCTTTTCCTATCCCTCAAAACCCTCTAGGTAATTAATTAGAGGGCTTTGAAGCGTGGCCTCAAGCACTCTCGGTATGAGAGCTGGGAAGGTTACTTCCCAGTTCTCATACCGTAACATGCATGCGCAGTGCCATCTGGGTCGGCCATAGAGAATTATTGTATTCATTGATTCTCAATGGCAGTAACTTAGGCACATCACTGCGAGCAGCGCACTCTTTGAGGAGCATTGGATTGGCCCATCATCCTGGAGGCGTGCATCACTGAAGAAGGAGGTTGCGCCAGCACCGAAGGAGACTCGACGCTGGAGAAGGATGAGTAATACGTTTTCAAAATTATTACTTTGTTTTTAGTTTTATTTTACAGGGGGGTACACCAAATTGTATATGAGCACCAGTGCTGTAGCGTTAGGAATACAGTTATGTATTCCTAAACATACAGTGTTCTTTTAAAGGAACAGTATAGTGTCAGGTATAGAAAACATGTATTCGAAATGCTAGAGTGTTACTACAATTATTTACATAGCACCAACTCATGATTAACATACTGGAACAGTAGGGGAGGAGGGTCCTTCCCAAATGAGCAAAAAACATAAAAATCCCTTATGCAATATAAAACACCAGTGGTTAAAAAGGGGGTAATTATGAAAATAAGTAATCCTATAAAATAGTAGATGTTTAGAAGATTCCTCGGATCTTCTGAATATACATATACATAGAGAAATAAACTACCTACAAAATAAAATCAGAAAGGACCACAAATGGGGCAGACCAAAAAACACCAGATAATAGCTAGTGTAAAAATGCACTCACAAGCATAAATTTAAAGCAGGCAGAATAGGAAAATATCGGTAGAACTTCTTTCTTTCTTTCTCTACTTCCTAACTTCTGTGCATGTTAGGAGAGAAGAAACAAAACACAGTGCAACACTGTATAACACCAACAAGAACACTTTATTTAATGCACTCACAAGATAATTATAGGATCACTATAGCGTTAGGAACACAGACATGTATTCCTGACCCTTTAGTGTTTAAACCACCAACTAGCTCCCCTGGGCCACTCATGCCTCCATAAATATAGCAAAATCTTACTGTATTCAAGCCTGAAGCTGTAACTTTGCATGCTGTTTGATTCAGAAAAACAAGCAGTCTGCTGACATCATCAGAAGTGGTAGCCTGATCCAATCACTGTGCTTCTCCATAGGATTGGCTGAGACTGACAGAGGCAGATCAGGGGCAGAGCCAGTATGATTGAACAAATTCAATAAGCTGTAGTTGTTCTGGTGACTATGGTGTCCCTTTAAAAAGTAAACGCCCATAACAGTTTCTTTACTCTCAGTAGCAATTCTGTATACAACCTCCAGGAGCCAGAAATCTGTTGTGAAGGCAATCGGTAAAACACAGGAAAAACGGTGTTCTTTCACCCTACGCATCTCGTCTATAAATATATTTCTTCAGGGGTATTCAGCGTGTGTCTGACAATTCTACCAAGTCCTGTGTTTAAAAACCCTGGTTTGCTTCTCCCAAATTGCCTCACAAGCAATCGGGACAGAGCTGGTCGACCTGATGTCGATAATCCTCATTTGCGTGTCATGCCTTTTGCTTTGGAAATCAAATGTGTTCTATCTTCATGTAAGTTTAAATCCACTCGAAAGTCTCTTCACAAAGTCCATAAATAAGAAAATGTAACAGACATGAAACAGGTATAAATAAAATCTGGTAATAAATATTTTAAAATCTTAAAATAACCAATCATTAATAACGAGAGAAGAGAGAGAGAGAGAAAAAAAGAGATCCTAGACCTAAAACTCTCTAAAACTTACTTGTGAAAAACAAAGCATATCAAAATCAACATTAAGACCATCAGGCTGCATGGTCTTGAGTATAAATCCAGAAACCCTCTCTCTGTCTTAACTTTAACACTAAATCACTTTTGTGGTCCTTTCTGATTTTATTCCTGCCCAAATGGGCTTACTATCTAAAAATCTAAAATAACTATTTAGCTATCTGGACCCTCGCAGATGAAATAAATAAAGCAATTTACTTACCTGTTAGCCCTCGCAGCATCAGACTCCATGCGATCTCCCTGGCTGTGACCTCTGTGCTTATGATCTCACTCAATCCAATGCTTTCTCAAAGGGAAGCATTTGGATGCTAGTGCGCATGTGCTGCAAAATGCTGGCTGTGCCAATCAGGATCTCCTCATGCTTCTTCTACGTCAGTGTATCTATATGGGGAGTGCTCAGTGTCTCCGTGCAGAGTGTGGAGATGCGGAACATCGGTTCTGCAATCTTTGCAGGACCAAACCCAGGAAATCTCTTCAGTGGCTGTTTGAATGACAGCCACTAGAAGTGACCTTAGGCAGCAATGTAAATATTGGCTTTTTTTTCAGAAAAGGCAGTGTTTACACAACTGAGGCTGTCGGGACAGGCTGTTTGCCCCAGAAACACTACATTAAGCTGTAGAGGTTCTGGTGCCTAGTGTGTCCTTTTAACCCCTTAATGTGTGACATGTCATGAATCCCTTTTATTCCAGAAGTTTGGTCCTTAAGGGGTTAAAGCAGCTCCAAACCTATACTCAATTTACATCACACTGCAGAAATGTCACTGCGGAAATATTTGCACAACCCCAAAGCAAACTAAAAATTTGCTACAAATTGAGCTTTTATTTTTGTAGCAAATTCTCCACAGTTTTTCTTTTTATTACATGGAATGTGTGGCTGTCTGCGCATTAGCGCAGTTAGCGCATGGCATGTAAATTAGCATGTAAGCTCATCGAGCAGGGCCTTCAACCCCCTCTGTTCCTGTACATCCAGTGGTCTGATCTCAATTATGTCTGTTAGTCCACCCATTGTATAGCGCTATGGAATATGTTGACGCTATATAAATAAAATAATAATAATAATAATAATAATAATTACTCTCTACACTGCCATTTGCTTGGACATGCTTATGGGACTTTTGAAAGAATGGGGAAGCCTAACAAAATGGAAATATTTTATATTTATGTTAACAGCACTAGACATGTGCATTCAGTTTCAAACAAACTTGGCAGGTTGTCCGAATTAAAGTGCTATATGAACATATAACTTAACAAACGAATCGCGCAATGGATGAGCATGTTTGTTTGATTTGTGATTTTCACATCCATCTGTGGAGCTAAATACATTTTTAAAAAAAATTCTTTATTTTAATGTTCGTATATATTATATATTGCTTATAGACAGTGGAAATACACCGTTAAAACAGTTCGCTACAGAAGAAAAAAGGGGAGACAGGGGCAATACAGAATGAAGATATCGTTGGTAGAGTGGGACATCTATTTTTTTTGGCTTCACGGATGGAACTCCAAATGTTGGTTTTATTCACAGGTTAAGTGAGATGTGACCCATAAAGGGGGAAAAAAAAAGAAGTGGCAATAAAATTCTATATTTTGTATATAATATAGATACATTTATAATATATATTTTTTACTGCTACTCCTTTTTTCCCTCTATTGATTACTTTTTCTCACTCGTTCAGTGTACTATAAAATATATACATAATACTTGTTTTGCAATACACTGATCCATTTTGAAATAAATATAAAACTCAAATAAAACAGCTACACATATACAATCCCCATCACACACGAACAAATTAATCACAAATGACAAACAGCTTGATTACATATATGTAGATCCCTATCAACTGGCCCATCTTACACTTCTACAACTAAACCTTTTGGAGCTCAGTCCCTCCTCTCTCAAACTCTCACCAGTACAGTTACCTATACATGTGCCCTTCCCCTTCCCTCTCCTCCCCCAACAAAAATTAAATAAGCTGACACTACTAGTCAATAGTTAAATATTCAGCCCCCGGCAATGTAGGCAGGGTGTCCACCTAATACCACTTATTTCAGACTGCCAGGGGCGAGGGTGGACATGCTCTGCAGTCTCAGCCAGCGGAGGTCTAAGTCATGCTCTGCACACAGACTCACATAGACGAGTGGCCTGGGGTGAGAGCATTATCAAGGGAGTGGTGCACTTTACCCTTTCCTGCATTCTTTTACCTTAGTCAGGTGACTTTAACAAAGTGTGTGAGATTTAAGTTTATAAGAGTGAATTTCAAATTTAAGGTGGAGCAGCCAAACTGGAAGCACAACTCGAGAAGCAGAATGGAACTAGTTTATAAGTCAGACATTTTCAGTTCTGTAGAAAGACCACTAAACTAGGTTCCGTGATTTTTTTTTTACAGAACTGAGAATGCCTGACTTATAAACTAGTTCCACTAGTGTACACTAACTCCTTTTAGACGTGGGAATGTTTTTAGTCCATCAAAATTATCATATTTCTGTAGTGACCATCTGTGTGTACTATATCCTAGCTATTAGAGATTAGAACTGTGTATTTAGCAGAAAATAGATAGAATCATTAGGTGTCCATGAAGGCACAAGCTTGATACTAGTGATTTGAACCCAAGACAATACTATTAGCTGTCCATGAAGGCACAAGCTCAGCTAACTCCAGAGACCATAGGATTAAGCTGTATATCTATACTTTAGAATTCTTCCTAGGTTGCCTTCTATATTATACTTTAGAATTCTTCCTAGGTTGCCTTATATATTATACTTTAGATGATTACCCTGTTTAATAGGTTACAGCTGTGCTGAACTCAACAGCAACCTACTAACACGGACTTTGGCTACAATACACGTTGATCTAGGGCAGGCTTCCCCAAACTCCGGCCCTCCAGATGTTGCTGAACTACAACTCCCATGATTCTCAGCCTATCTATTTCATTCACAGAATCATGGGAGTTGTAGTTCAGCAACATCTGGAGGGACGGAGTTTGGAGAAGCCTGATCTAGGGACTTCCCTAATCGACCATCAACCACCTAACCAACCATCAACCACTTAAGATTGATCGAGCAATTCAAATTGACTGGTAGGGTCACCATGAACTGCCTATCTATTACTCCCTCGTTGTTCTAGAAACTAAACGTTTAGACGATTGTCCCCTATTTTAATGCCCTTGTTGGCAAACCATTAACAGTACTTCACCTTCTTATAGCAATTTGATGCAAATAGTTGCTACTTTTTGGGACACAGCAACTATCTTACGATCTCCATATGACTAAGACAGTTTATACAGAGAGATAATTTGTAACATTTGCAACAATATTGGCCATCTCTGCTTTATCTTGGTATTTGGCAGTGTACAAGGGCTCACTATTTTTTTTTTTTTTTCTCTCATTGAATTTATCTATTATTATGTATATATTTTATATTGCATTTAATAAATGTTAACTTTTATTTTCATGCTTTACTGTATTTACTATTCAGGGGGTTGTTTCCCTTTTAAGAAGCACATATGCATTATTATTATTTATTTATTTATTTATTCATTCCCCATTTGCAATCTATGACCTAGGAGTTATCACCCATTTTTTCGAGTGTTGCATTGAGTAATGTGGGCTCTTTTTCTTCCTAATCATTATATTTGATATTCTGCAATAAGTTTACTTTGGAATAAAATGTATTTTTCTATATCTGGATCCCTGATATCTATTGGATATACTCCAAGCCTGTATAGGAACCCTGGGGCATTATATACAGAGCCTTGTATGGCTCTGCATCATGTGAGTTTGATTCCAATCTCATTACTACTTTTAGTTGTTTTACAGTTTTGTTTATACATTCTCTTTTAGGGTATCTATAGATATTTGTGGATTCCTAATGATACATCCTATGGATTTCGAAGTAAATTTAGTGTGTTACACGGACGTGTAATGGTTTTATTTTTTATTATTATATGCAGTTGTTATGGTGCACTAACTGCCCCATTGTAAGTATTATACCTGGAATGAGCTAGACATGCGCTCTCACTTCCCTCTCACTTTACTATCGGCTCCGGCCCTTTGATAACACACAGATCAGAGAACATGGCAGCCATCTTACATCAGTCAGAGTGGAGCAGTAATGTTGCAGCTGATGTGTCCTCCTATGTTCCTGTCAATAATCATAAACAAATTATAAAGTAAAAGTGCAGCAATAAAGAATGTTGTATATAACTACTAAGACTCATATCTGAAGCAGACAATGAGTGTAACAGTAATCGGTCAAATCGGTTTTGATTGGTTTGACTTCATACCTGGGGACCCCTTGACGCCACTCCCTGTATACACTATTAACACTGGAGAGCCAAAAATTCCCAAGCCGGAGCTTTTGTTGGCTCTCCTGAGTAAAGCCATGCAACACAGGTATAATCGGCTTTCTGGGATATTGTTACTACTACATATCCCTGTAGTAAATCTATACATACAGCTGAATGGTGTGTGGCAAACAGAGTTGCTGAGAATCTACTGTGAAATCTAATATGTGATACACAGGCTAAATTACAAAAGTAACAGGATTTCGTAGAGCATTGATGCAACTTGATATGAAATACATAGATGGGTACACTGTTTAATGAAATGTAGCCATTGAAATTGACACAAATCCACTCTAAGCTCTCAGGTATGGTAACAGACTTAGTAGATAGTTATTAACTATGATTCTATGAAATAATCGTATAGTAGATAGTTATAAAATATAACTCTGTAAAATAATTGTATACAGATGCTCCTCACTTTACGACCAACCCACTGAATGACAACTCAAATTTAGTAGATCATTCACGGAAAAGATGCGAGGTACAGCTTTGCACTGTAAATCTGTACCTCATCTTTGCCGCGAATGAGAAACCGACGAATGTGAACACAGCAAAATTCAATGTGAATTTCGCCACGTCCAGAGGGATCCCAGTATAGTACATTTAGTACCTGTACTGTTCGTCAAGGGTCATTCGTGGGTTTTCATTTGCGGCAAAGAGGTGAGGTACAGCTTTGCAATACATTTGTTCTGTGAATGAAAACCCAAGAATAAGAAATTTAGCGAATGATAAGCAGTGGTCCTCGCTTATCGACCATGTCACTTAACAACCCTCATAGGAACGGAACTCGGTCATTAAGTGAGGAGCACTTGTAGTATATAGTTATAAACTATAATTCTATGAAATAATCGTATGATGGTATAAGGATATCACTAAGTACATGCTCTGTATGGCAGTCACAGTTATAACATAACCAGAAACAGCATCTGGCTAGCTGATGGTCTCCCATATCACCTTGGAGCCTCAGGCTCAGTTTTTTTATTTATTTATTATAGAAATGGTAATATCTTACAAAGAATACGGTATTTCTACATTTTAGGTTGACCTCACCCACTAATATAATATGGCATTTCCCAAAATCTAAAATACATTAAGAAAGTTTTCCTGGATATTATTTGCATCTGTTCCAATACACTTAACAGTAGAAAACAATAAAGTAATTACGTATGATAGAAATAAATATATATTTATATATACTGGACTAGACATGAGGTCAAACTTTTTTAAAATATTTATTACTAAAATTCCCAGTCAAAGCAGAAAAATACTACATAATATTGTCCAGCAGATGGTGCTAGTTCCAAATAAATGCTCTAGTATTTTAGTCTCCAGCTAACTTTTACTTTTTTGTTCACTATTAGCCATTTTTTAGTTTCCATATTTTGTTATATTTTCATTTTACTTGTTTATTATTTATTATAAATAATTCAAATTAACTTTACCAAAGATTACAATTTTGAAAGAGAGAGACTTCCTTCTTCATGTTCCTATTTACCTTCTTCTCCCTCTTCCGTTATATTGATTGTTATTTAATAAATGTGATAACGTTTTGAATTCAGTAAAGTCTTGCGTGATATGTTTAGTTCCAATAAAAGAAAAAAGTTAGCACTAGCTCAAGTTCCTATACATATATAAATAACCAGAGAACTTTTTAGTATCACTCGAGTGGCCCATCTGCCACGTCAAGGCAAATTCAATAGAACAATTATTAGGTTGCACCATAGTTTTTTTAAAATTGTGTGTTAAAATACTTTAAAGGTATTTAAAAAAAATGTACTTACAGTAAAACGGCCAATCAGAAATGTTACAGTCTAAAATATAAGATATAGAAATTAGTAGGAAGCCCAATTTTGAGGTACAGGGATGAGGAGGTGTAGATCTATATTCGTGGAAGTCTTGGAATAGCTGTTTCTCTTGATCCAGTTAAAACATAAGGTAAAATAAAAACTAAAATGGTGAGTAGGACCACTGCGGAGTATACATTTCCCATCACGTGCCTGTGACTGACTATACCGTTTTAGTTTTTCCTTTTACCTTATGTTTTAACTGGATCAAGAGAAACAGCTATCCCAAGTCTTCCACGAATATAGATCTGCACCCCATCATCCCTGTACCTCAAAGTTGGACTTCCTACTAATTTCTATCTCTTATATTTTGGACTGTAACATTTTTATTTGGCATTTTTACTGTAAGTACATTTAAAAAAAAATACCTTTGAAGTATTTTAACACACAATTTAAAAAAAAACTGTGGCGCAACCTAATCATTTTTCGATTGTATACTACTCTTTTCTTTCACGGTCTTTGAGGGAACCTCCTACTCCTAGGTTTTGCTGCTTGATCCATAAGCTGTCTGTCTACACTAACAATTCACCTTGCTTCTCTCAGCCTCAGGTAAAATACATTTTTGAGACAGAAAGGGGTATTTTTCTAAAACCCTACAAACTTATTAACCCTTAATAGTAAAGACATGTTTTTATTTTATTTATTTTTGTCTGTTTGTATTTGCTTCCACACAGCCATGTTATAATGATGCCGCCCATCCCACGTGTTCCCTACTAAGGGTTAATAAGTACGCAGGGGTTTAGATAAATATCCATTTCTGTCTCATTAGATATTTTTTTACCTGAAGCAGAGAGAAACAATGTGAATTGTTAGAGTGGGATTCACCTAAGACAGGCTTCCCCAAACTCCGGCCCTCCAGATGTTGCTGAACTACAACTCCCATGATTTTCAGCCTATCTATTTCATTCATAGAATCATGGGAGTTGTAGTTCAGCAACATCTGGAGGGCCAGAGTTTGAGGAAGCCTGACCTAAGAGGTTTGCGTTGAAGTGTCAGGTGGGCTTACATCTAATGGCCTTTAGAGTGATGCTAAAAAACTCCAGTTATTTAAATGTGTGTAGGGTCTTGGGATAGTGCGTAAGTAACTTTTTTTTTTTTGTATGTATTGGGGCTGATGTGTACCATAGTCATTGCTGCCGCCCAGGAGTAGTGGGAGTTTGAGCACAGGACTTATTTTTGTTTATATTATACATTTACTTACTAATCAGCCAAGCTGAATTGGATACTTTTTCCATACCAGCTAATTCTTTTACCAACATTTTGACATTCTTTTTTCAATTATCTGCAATTTTGAGTTCAAACGAAAAAACTCTAAATCCCCAACTCACATAAATGAGCAGTAGGTTTTGTTTGGGTGTAGGTGCAAAAACCATACTGTATAGTCAACATTTTAAGCTTAAGGTTGCCTTACAGACTATTTCATATGCACAATCAAAGGTACCCAAGGTTGGATTGGCAAATATTTGCTAAATAGAAAGTATGTGTCATCCAGGTCTTGTAATGACTTATTCCAAGCAAGCAGTATTGCAAATAGATGTTGTACAATACACATGTGGCTCAACAACTTAATACCTTTAAAGGTTATTTGTTTAGTGAACATGGTGAAAGAGTAATGTTGTCATTGTACCGCTTACTAAATTATCCAAAGATCTTGCCTGTTTCCTGTGCAAACAAAATTAAAATGTTAAATCCTATTTATGCAATAGGATTCTAGAATTTCACATATTTTACATTCTGTGTCTGTTTTTTCTTTTCAGACTTGAACTCAGGTTGTGCAGATGTAGGAAAAAAACAACTGTTGGAAACTAATGGACCGGCCAAAGAAGGTAACATTTTATATTAATTGAACTGTTTGCAACCTATGAAAAAATATATGTATATAATGTAAAGTTTCATATTTCTTTATCGCTCAGATTCCTCTATCCTCTCTTCTTTAATGACACTAACTTAATTAATTTAAAATACATACTGAAATTGCATCGTTTTAACAAATCTCATAAATTATTTTGTTTTCAGACAACACTACAAAATGTAACCAGCATATTTCACCTATATGCACATGTTATACTGTATGTGTACACAACCATATCTGCACTAGGTGTATCACCTATCCCCTTCATTAGATATTCTGGAACAGAGTTCTGGGCTGTCCATGTCACGTGTGCAACTAGCTGCCAGCACAGGAGTACAGATAACTCAGTATGTGCAGTGTTTCAAGCTAAACACTGCACATACATACTCCTCCTACCTGAAGTGGTCATGGTAGTTGGAGTCACTGAAGTGGCCATGGTGGTTGGAGTAACCATTTAAAGTTCAAGGGAAGAAACTGGTATCCCTCTGGCACTGATAACACTGACCTGCACCCTTCACACGTTTTTGGTAATAGAAAGGAGCCTCTTGGTTGTCAGTGTCCACTGGATTCATATCTTCTACTAATTAACCCCTCATCTGCTGCACATAAGTAAAATAAATGGTTGTCCATTGAGTGTGTCTCCTTTAGTGTGTCTGCGGAACCCCTGCTAATTATTAAATCCTTTGTTATCTCACATTGGATGTAGCTATTGCGGAGGATATTGAACAGAAAGTGGATTCACTGGAACCCATCACACACACTGAGAGCTAAAAGGGCTCTGAGCAAGTCTCTCCTAGTTGAAAGGGGGTCACCTAGACCCTTGCAGTTATTTTTGTAAACCCATCCCACATGAACGTGGATGATGGAATGTGTCTGCTTGTTTAGCCATTGGCACACTTGGCATTTATATTAACTCTCATAAGACTGTCCACGTGTGAGATAATAGGTGGGCTTATTTAATAGAAAGCTTGGGGACCAAAGATTGTTTTTGCATATTTTTTAAATTATTTTATCCTCTGGGATAACTTTACTTTTCTGAAAATTACTCTGTTTATTCTCACAGAAGGATCCAGTTGGAATATTTAGCGGTTTCGTTGTTTGCTCACCCAGTCAGGGTAGTATTTTGTGGCCTTTTTTAATTCTTCTCTTTTTTTTAGTGGTAAAGAGTTGCCTAGCAACACCGCATTAAGCACTTAATATGCACTACACTTACAATGTCAAATATATATATAAACACTTGTCATAAAGTACCATGCAGGCTCACTCTCTTGTGTTGCTATACTATGATACCTGTAGGTTCATGGTCCCAGTGCCACAAGAGACAACTGCTGTGTTTGAGCAGACTCACTCACCTGGATCACCAGCCAGAGAAACTGTCTCCACTACGTAAATACATTTTTAGACGGTTTTTGGATGTCTTTTTGGCGAATTGCAGCAATTTAGTTTTAAAATGTGCGTACTTATTAATGTACCACCATTTAAGATAAACTATACACAAAATACAACTGTTCTCTGTAGAAAGGTAAAAAGCAGCCCTTAAAAATACATTTTTAAATTAAATAATATATATGAAACAGCCAGTGTGTTGCAGTAACTTTTTTTCTTCTTAAAGGAGCACTATAGGGACAAGAACACAAACATGTATTCCTGATCTGCCATTTAGCCCCCCACCTCCATTGCCTCTGTAAATATATTAAAATCTTACTTGTATTCAAGTCTGCAGCTGTTGCCTCTGCCCCTGATCTGCCTGCTTACCTAACATCATCAGAAGTTATTATCTGAACCAATCACAATGCTTTTCAATAGGATTGGCTGAGACTGTCAAGGAGCAAGATCAGGGACGGAGCCAGCACAAGTCAAACACAGCCCTGGCCAATCAACATATCCTTATAGAGATGAATTGAATCAATGCATCTCTATGAGGAAAGTTCAGTGTTCAGAGGGTGGAGACATTGAATGGCAGTGCTGTGCCCCAGAAATCACCTCGAGTAGCCATCACAGGAGTGGCCACTGGAGGTATCCCTAGGCTGTAATGTAAACACTGCCTTTTCTCTGAAAAAATAGTGTTTACTGCAAAATGCTCAAAGGAAATGATTCTACTCACCAGAACAAATACAATAAACTGTAGTTGTTCTGGTGACCAAAGGGTCCTTTTAAAAGTACCTTTTCATTCTTTTCCCTGACATTTTCATTAACTTCATTAAATTTAAGGCCAATATAGCCAAACTGTTTAAAAAAAAATTAGCCATGCTTCCAGTTCAGCTACTTTGGTCTTCAATTGGAACTTCACTTTGAATTCAGTTTGACATTTCACTTTACTGAATAATTCTGAATATATGCCATCATGTTACTTGACTTGTTTGCATTATGTGAAAATTGCCACTTAGTCTGAAATCTTTTAAAATATAATTTATACATTTTAATAAACCGGCCAGAATGTTTTATATTAATATTCTAACTGTTTAAAGTGCTTTTGTAAATCATAGTCAGTGTTTTATTCTATATTTATTAATGCAAAATTTTCTCAGGTGATATTATATACTATTTCTTATGTACAATCATAGGTAACCAAGGTTGGATTGGCAAATATGTGCCAAGTCGAAAGTATGTGTCATCCTGCTGTCGTAAGGATTTATTCCAAGCATGCAGTCTTGCAAAAAGATGCTGTACAATACACACATGGCTCAACAACTTAAAACCTTTAAAAAAGGTCATTTGTTTAGTGAACGTGGTGAAAGAGTAGTGTTGTGTCGCTTACTCAATTATCCAAAGATCTTGCTTATATCCTGTGGAAACAAAATGAAAATGTCAAATCAAATCATATTTATGCAATAAGATTCTAGATTTTCACATATTTCACATTGTAATGTGTCTCGTTATTTTTATTTTCAGATCTAAACTCAAGTTTGTCAGATTCAAGTGTAAACCAATCATTTGAGAGTAATGGGACGGCCAATGAAGGTAAAATTTTACATTACGTTAACCGTTTGAATCCTATGAAACAAAAACATAAGTGTAATGTACAGTTACTTTTTAAAAAAATTTTAACTTATTTTTTTAGTAATTTAAAGTGGAAATTGGTGGAATTCAAAATTAGCTAAACTGGACGCATAGATGACTTGGAGAATTTTTCAGGTTTTACTATTTTGGCCTTAGAGGAGCACTATAATGCCAGGAAAACAAACTCCTTTTCCTGGCACTATAGGGTTATTAAGTTCCCCCCATGCTCATGGCCCCCCTCCCGCTGGGCTGAATGGGTTAAACCCCCTTCAGCCACTTACCTTTTTCTAGCACCGGACTCCCTCGACACTGGGGAACTCTCCTCCTCCTGCCGACGTCAGCGCTGAATGCGCACACGCATTTAAATTGCCCACTTGAAAGCATTACTCAATGCTTTCCTATGGACGTCCATCGTCTTCTCACTGTAATTTTCACAGTGAGAATCGCCGAAGTGCCTCTAGCGGCTGCCATTGAGCTGAAGTGGTCTGGGTGACCATAGTGGTCCTTTAAATGCTAAATTCACTTCAAATTCGCTTTGAATTCCAAACAATTCACACATTAGTGAATAACCCTGAGAGTAAATCTGTTGAAAAAGTAAAATCAGTGCTGAAAAAATATCTTGGTGTACTCCCCCTAAAAACATTTATTTCTATACCTTCTGCACTTCAAATTGACCCTGCATATACGGCACCTAGACTGACCAAATGTTGTCCTAATTTGTACTGTGGGGATGTTCATTATATGCAAAGATTGGTCTTTACCTACAGAAGCAACAGAGGAGGTCTGGTGAAAAATTGAACTGGGAGACATGATATAGACACTAAAATTGCTTCCTTAAGCTAACGTTGTTTTGGTGCTTAGAGTATTTCTTTAAGCATTTGTCATAATGATACTTTATGAGGTGCATGGATGTAGCTAAGACCTATTACCTTATGTGTCCCTTTATTTCCCCCTCTATTTATATGTATCTGGGACACATTTATCTTCTTAAGATACAATGTGGTTACTTACTCAGCATTGTGGAAATGCAAAACTTATGTGTAATTTGGATTTATGAAAACAGTAAAAATCACCAACTCATTTGTTTTTATATAAGTTTGCAGTCCTTTCAATTTGCTTCTTGCGCAACTGACATGAGAAATGTTTGTGTAATTATTTTGGTAAAAAAAAACTTGTCTACTTTTTCAAAAGTCCCCGAAAAAAATCAGCTGACCTAAATTGACCGTGTTAAACCATCATGCTCACAAAGCTGATTCATAATATCCCGTCATGTGATGTGTAAAAGAAGCTTTAAATCTCCCTTTTAAATATTTTCACTTTATACCATATTTCTTCACAATGTTTAACCCTTTCATGGCAAGGCAAAGTCCTTATGCTACATCTACACTGTCAAGTCATTTGTCACGATTGGTTAAATATCTTTTCTACTTCTCCCCTTATATACCCGTTTTCCTACAAGTTTTATCACAGTTTACTTAATATATATTAAAATACATATATATAACTTAGTCTATCCACATTATCCACATCTGTAAAACTTTTTATAATTTCCTCAAATATTATTGGACAGTTTGTATTCTTGAACAAACTGCTGTAGGTGGTGTTATACATCCAGCAGCAGAGGGGTTACACTTTGTTTGTACAGCATTCCCAATTTTAATTGGGCTGTATGTGGTGATCTCCCAAGCCATGTATGGAATTTGGACTTCAAAGGAAAAAGTAAATGCAGTATGAGCCTTTCTGGACTTTTAGTAAGGTTGTTATGGTGTTTATAGCGACCCTTTAATCGTTACTTCAACAAAAAACAAAAATGTTTTAGGAAAACACTGTTTTTGGTCAGAGTAACCCTTCCTATTCTTATCCCTCCCAAAAAACAAAAAAAAAAATAGCTAAAATTCACTTCTCTATGCAGTGCCAAGACCAAGTTCTCCCTCTGCCTTATCTCCTGGGAGGGACAAATGTCAGTGATTGGAGTAACCCTGTAGGCTTTCAATGTGGTTTATCATAGCTGCACTTAGACAAACACAATATTGCAAGTTGTATTAACATGTATAGCTTGGAGGAAAGACGAGACAGGGGGGATATGATAGAAACATTTAAATATATAAAGGGAATCAACACAGTAAAGGAGGAGACTATATTTAAAAGAAGAAAAACTACCACAACAAGAGGACATAGTCTTAAATTAGAGGGACAAAGGTTTAAAAATAATATCAGGAAGTATTACTTTACTGAGAGGGTAGTGGATGCATGGAATAGCCTTCCAGCTGAAGTGGTAGAGGTTAACACAGTAAAGGAGTTTAAGCATGCGTGGGATAGGCATAAGGCTATCCTAACTATAAGATAAGGCCAGGGACTAATGAAAGTATTTAGAAAATTGGGCAGACTAGATGGGCCGAATGGTTCTTATCTGCCGTCACTTTCTATGTTTCTATGTTTAAAGCTAGCAGAGAAACAGTTATAGTATCCGCATAGTTCTAATCATGGCCATCCGTAATCTGGAGCACTATTAAATGACTCACCTTTTTCATGCAAGGGTTACACTGTAGGTGTGATGATTTCAACTCATCATCTCAAAACCCATTTAACTCATCGGAGGATAATGTCAACGCACACTTAAGCATGACCGCATTAGCGTAGGTGACAAGTGTTCTACCATTAGATCGAGTCTCATTCTTATGACCTATTTAGTTTTAGGCAAGTTCACAAATTAATCTTGGTGGACACTTTTTTTTTAATTCTAGTATTCTAGTAGACTACGATACATGGCAAGAAGGATTTTTTCCCCCCATAAGAGAAATTTTCAACATTTAGCTCACATTGATTTTAAGGGGCATTTCTAACCTCCTGAGAAATACGTTATAAGGATATATTTTTATTTTATAGAGTTATGCTTAACTCAAGAAAAGGTTTTGTATTATTGCGATATATTGCTAAAGTGGAACTTTTACTTATGCTGCATTTCCTTGTAGTAGGAGACTTTGCCAGTCCATAACACCACTGGCACACTCTCTCGCATGATTTGGCATCTATGCAGACATGCAGTATGACAGCATGCATATCCTGCAATTTGTTCAGCAGTGCAGTACATGCTCGTGTTCCATATATATGGTAGACTTGTGGCGAAAGGATTCGGTTCAGCTGAAACTATTTATCCAAAAATAGAAGATTTTTTCGTGACCCACAAATTTCGGTCGAATCTGGAAACCAAATCAGAAGTACAATAGAGTGTGAAAATGGACCAATCAGTGTGCTACAAAATATATAGATAATATCAGATTATGCAGTACACTGATAGAAGCAATTTCCCACAATTTGCTTCACAGATCAATTGAGAAAAAGTATCTAACAGTGGGGAAATAACAGGATGATCAGTAAAAGTACCAAAAACAACTCTATGTATTCTAATTACATATAATAATTAAATATCTAATACATAACTGTCCCTCATTCAATAAGAGGCATCCAATGTGTCTAAATACAATAAAAAAATATATAATAGTTATTAAGCTCATCTTATACAGAGAATTAAAATCCTGGTCTGAAGGTAACAGGTATAGAGTCAATAGTGAGGGCATGGCATCTCCCCAATAAAGATTCCTGAGGCTTCAGAGGACTTTTAAAATACTACAAATTTTATTTTACAAAAGAAAAATTTTAAAAAATAAACTATAAAATATGTAAACACTGCACACTTATGCAAAAAGAAATATAAAAACGCCCCAAAATCAGGATGCGTTTCACTCCTTCCTGAGCTTCTTCAGTCAGCTATACAGGGCTAAATTTCTGGCAAATGGAACACACACACACACTCACACCCTTCCCTTCTCTACCACCCCCTATTTAGATGCATCCATTCCACTAACTGTATGTATAGAATATCAATTTGATACATTTTATGTCAGCAATTGCACTGTTCCCAATGAATTGGACTGCACACACAAAGCAGAGGGATATTTAATAGTGACTTGCAAACTTGGTTGGCGACCAGTAGTAGATCAAGTGTATAACAATTAAAAACTGTCCAGGCTCTCAAGGGGTGAAATCGGAGCTTGAGAAAGTCTCTGTCTGTGGATGAAACATTGCCTCTGTTTCCAATAAAAATCTGCCTTTGGAGTTAACCCTTTGAGTGCCTGTACAGCAATCAGTGGGTCGATGGTTATATTTTTGTATATTAAGCACTGCAATGAACATTGATTTTTTTTACTTTCAATGTAGATGAGGACACAGACATGGCGCCTGAGATCACCCTCCGAAATTATCAGATGGAAGTGGCCCAACCTGCACTGGAAGGGAAGAATATTATTATCTGCCTTCCTACAGGAAGTGGTAAAACCAGAGTAGCTGTGTACATTACCCGACAACATCTGAACAGACGAAAAGCACAAAACCTCCCTTTTAAAGCTATTGTGCTTGTCAACAAGGTATGTACAAAGTTGGACTTTTTGGGGTGGGTGACAGTGAAGCGGTAGTTGGAGATTTCTCCAGTTTAGCTATTTTGACCTAAATTGTATGACCTAATTTTCCACATTTGGTCATGTGATATATTAAAAAGTAATTAATTATTGGCTGACATTTGGTTAGCTGTTAAAATTTTGAGATGGGCTTGTTTATGTGACTAACCAAAAATATCCAAAATACAACAGAATAGCTGCCAAATCCCCATAATTTGTGTTATCTATCTCCCCAGATAAATTATTTTCCCCATCATCTCAGGTCATCCTAATACCACCTCCATCCCCCTAGATCCTATAATGACAGCCAAATCTAAATCCCCCAACAAAACTGACTCTTACTTGAGCTGCATATCTGTAAAAAATCTGGCTATTCATTACAGTTTGACTGCTGGTCAGCTAGGACTATGTTTAGATGAGTCTCATTGCTACAATGAGATCCATTTGTAAATAGCAGGTACCTATTTGGTTCAACACAGTTTCCACTCTGGTGATAGTGATTCGGTATTTATAGTGACCCTCTCAATAATGACCCTATTTAACATTTTGAAGAGAATTTGACATTAAAATGACCAAACTTGCCATAGCAAAACTGGAATTGACACCACTGTCATTAATGTCTTCATTTGTTTATTGCTACAAAATAAACACTAACATTATCTAAATGGGGGCTGTGGAGTGTGTGGATATAAGGGAAGTAGTGTAGAGGATGTAGTGTGTGTACAGAGGATGTGGTGTGATTTTTAGGAATGCAGTGTATGTGTGTAGGCAATGTAATGTGTGTGTGTGTGTTTATGGAATGTAAGGGATGTAGTGTGTGAATGTTAGGAAGGAAATATGTGTGTATATAAAGTGCATGCAGCAGGTGTGTAAAGGTGGTGTAGTGTACGTGTTTGTGTGTGTGAATAGGGAGATTTTTTTTATTTTTATTAAAAAAAATTTGTTTGAGTTTATTCCCCCCTCCGTGTTTGTTACCTCTGATGAGGGAGGGGGTACATGCTAATCCCTGGTGGTACACCAAACTGCACCTCTGTTAGGTGCAGACTAAGTATAGAGTAAAATATTCTGGTATGCTTAATGCAACACACAGGGATGAGGGAGTCGGACCGATGGTATACTGCTCAAACTGAATACAAATAGGGATTCACCAAAAACCTATCGGTAAATGTCATAGAGAATAACACCTTGAATGTGGTATGTGTTCCAGGAGACTAAGTATACTCTTCTCATGAGCCAAAGGAACACTCTGAATGGCCAGAGATCATGGGAGAGAAATACTCTCAGTATACACCCAAGATTACAGCTGTTTGTATATGTATGTATGTATATATATATATATATATATATATATATATGTGTGTGTGTGTGTGCTTGTGTATATATATATATATATATATAATTTCTTAAGAGTTATTAATTTTTCTTTAGTTTTAATTGTTGTTGTATATATACAACAATCCTGTATTTATTTCTGTACTTTAATTCAGGTACCATTAGTAGATCAGCATTTCCGCCGGGAATTCAATCCATACTTAAAGGACCAATATAGGATCACTAAAATAAGTGGGGATTCTGCTCAAAAGAAATCGTTTCTTAATGTCATCATGCGTTATGATGTCATTATATGCACTGCTCAGATCTTGGAAAACTCCCTCATTCAGGCAGCAGAAGGTGAAGAAGATGGTGTCAAACTGTCAGGTAGGGTTCTGTTTGCTGAATGATTTGCTGACAGTATATTTATTGCTTTCAAGATCACCTTTCTTAATAATTTTATGATCATTCTTATTTAAAAAAAAAAAAAAAAAACATCTTTACTTCCCATTCAGCTCCTTAAGAATCATAATGTCACATTACTCAACTGGTAACCACATAATGACCAAGTTACCCCAGGTTACCCCTAGTGCCAAATCAGAACCATATAGCAAATCAGTGTAAGAATGGAATAAAATCAGATTCTGGTATGAAAGAGTATAACGATACAAAATTAATTAAATAATAATAATAACAATAATAATAATAATATATATATATTCCAATTTTTGCTATTAAATAAGAGCAGTCTCAGTCCTCAGTGGATAAGTATTAAAAATTAGATACAAAATGGTCAAAAAAGACTGTTGCACAAAGTGTCCAAATGTATCAGCCTGTATCAGAAGGCTCCTGCTATAAACACAGCTAGAGTCAATCTGCTAGTAGACTGTAATAATATCCTACTAACAAACAGCTTCCTCAACAATTCCACACAATAGTACAGATATCTTCAGAATAAATAATAATTTAATACCACTCAGAAAGGTCTAAAGCCACTATAGAACAGCAACAATCCATAAAACAAAAGAACAGAGAGCCATAGTGCTCACTGTATTCGAAAATTTATTACATATACTGTGATTAAAAACACTCACATTTGCATATTGAATTTGAGCGTGTAGTAGAATTTCAGAGAAAAACCTTTCAATAAAATAGTTCACAGTCCTTACACTTCTTAACTCCGGCGGGGAGGTAAGTCGGGGTGGAGACCATGGTCGGGACGCCCAGTGCGTTCCATCGATCTTCTTTCCTGAGTTCCTGTAGCTTGGTATCACAACAAATTTTATGACAGATGCCATAAAGCCGGTTCACTTAATCAGAGGCTTGCATTTGTATCAAGACTCTGGGTTTAAATAGCCCTAAGGATTATTGCAGTTTGTGCTGTTGCCGGTGCAACGACTTTTGGGTTGAAGATACATTTTTCCGCCTTCCCCCCCACCCCACCAAAAAAAAATAACATCTTCATCTGTGTGCCTCTTAACCTCCCTTTTGTGTTTCTTATCCCCTCTTTTAAATGTCTCACTCCCTTTAGTGTATCTTATCTCATATTTTTCCCCATTGTGTGTCTTACACCTCCCTTGGGTGTCTCTTATCTCCCCTCTTTGTATGACTCTTACATCCTCTCACATTTTGTGTGTCTTACTCCTCCCAGCCCCTACGTGTGACTCTTTCTCTCCCAGCCCATCTGTGTCCCCCACAGCCCCACTGTGTGCCTTTTTTTACCTTCTCAAGCCCTGCTGTGTTTCTTTCACATCCAGCCTCTCTCCCTTCCACATCCCTTAGTGGTCCCCTCCCTTCCCTGTCCCTTAATGTTACTCTTCTTGAGATCTCCTTGAGATTCCTCGTGGAATATCTAACAGATTGATACTGAGAGATAAGACGTTTTAAAATAAATTAAAAGACAGTTTTTTTTACAGGGGGATTGCCTGAGTTGGCTGTATGGTGAGCCATGTACTCACTTTGCAGTGGCTATCAAGCAAAACACAGGGGGGGGGACAAAAAACGAATTAAAATAAAAAAAAAAATTCTCACTGCTACAGTATTAAATCCCTCCTCCTTTCCCTGTCCCTTAGTATTTCTCTCCTCTCTGTCCCTTAGTGCACCCTCCACCCCCTTAGTGGTCCCCTCCCCTTCCTGGTGTGCCTCCTACCTCTCTTGTAGCATGGCTGAGCCTGATCCTGCTACAGGAGCTTCCGTTTCCTGTACCCTACCGGTCTGGGAGGAAGTGCTCTATCAATGAGCACTTTCTGTCAGTCCGGCCGGGACCAGGAAATGGAAGCTCCTGCACTGCGTGCCGCTCCGCTCGGCTACGCTACACTCAGTGGTGTATACACACTGACAGTCAAACACACACAATGATAAACACACTGACTTCACTTACAGACAGAGACACGCTCATCTGACACACTCATTCATTGACAGACACACACATGCACACTAACAGACACACAAACACTAACAGACACACAGTAAGCAATAGGCAGTAAGTCTGAGGATCTGAGGAAGTGTAACTTATTTTTTATTCATCTTTTTCCTTTGTGTATTCTTTATTTTCATTTTTACATAGTGTAACACAGACTCTCACTGATTTGACAGACACTCACAAACACACACTGACAGGCACACACACACTCATACACATGCACACACACACACACACACACACACATACACACACACTCATACAATCACACATGATTAATATTAATATAATTTTAAATTTTCCTCCCTACCTGGAGAGCTGGCGTGGATCTGTCCCTGTGATCCAATGGGGCTGCTGGGAGGCATGCGGCTGTGGTAGAATCAAAGGCGATGAAAGAGCTGTGATCTCGCTGCTCTGTTCCCTCGCATCTTGCTGGCTGTCCACTTATGCTGGGAGCCGGAATATGACCGTCCAGCAGAGCAGGGAGATCAGAGCTCCCTCGCCGCCTTGGATGCCAGTACAGCTGCACGCCGTGCCGGTGGGTCCAGAAGGTGGCCTTCCCTCCTGCCGGTCACTGAAATCTTGTGCCCCCAGAGCCGGTGTGCTCTTAAGTGGCCGCCTGTGCCGCCTTATAGATGCGCTGGCCCTGGCTGTTAACCCTTAATTGATTGCTTGGTAATGTATGAAATAATACCACTTGGATCTGATTAATACTCACATTAAAGAATAACTAAAGAAAAAAAAAACTATTACTATTTTTAAATTTATTTTTATAGGGCTATGGCTCATGCATTCAAAATAAAGATGACTGATATTGTTAACATTACAGATTTCTCACTGATTATCATTGATGAATGCCATCACACAAAACAGGATGCCGTTTACAACAATATAATGTTACGCTATGTAAAAATGAAAATAAAGAATACACAAAGGAAGAAGATGAATAAAAAAGAAGCTACACTTCCTCAGATCCTCGGACTTACTGCTTCTCCAGGAGTTGGAGGAGCAGCAGACCGTAAAAAAGCCGAAGAGCATATTTTGAAAGTAAGTCTCTTAGCCAAAATGTTCTTACTTAAAGCCTGTAATCGGTGGTCCCTTGAATGATAGTTAGGGGGTTGCATGACTGGCAGCAGATAGATTTAGATTTTTGGGGTGTACATTTTTGGAAATGCATTTAAGAAAAATACATGCTAACAAATGTACAGCAATGCTTAAAGGAACACTAGAGTGTCAGAAATACAAACGTATTCCTGATACTATAGTCCTGAAGTGGCTGTGTAGGTGTCTGGCACACCTCCGATCTCAGTATAAAGGTGATTTTACTTACCTTTTCTCCCTTGCAGCACCAGTCTCATTGCAGCTGGCTCCTCCTTCTTGGCTTGATGATCTCAGCCAATCCAATGCTTTCCCATAGGAAAGCTTTGGGAAGCTATTGCGCATGCACGGCAATATGTTGCTCTGTTCCAGTCAGCATCTCTTCATAGAGATACATTGAATCAAAGCATCACTATGAGGAACATTCAGCATCTCCACTCAGAGCTACATGCTGTGCAGCACTGGACTAGGAAGCACCTCTACTGGCTTTATGAGTAGTGTTGCTACGCAACAATGTAAACACCGCCTTTTCCTTGAAATGCCTGCAGGAACAGGCTACAGACATCAGAACCACTACATTAAGCTTTAGTGCTTCTGGTGACTATAGTGTCTCCTTAAACATGAATCTAGAAAATAAAATAAACTTTTGGGGAATTAAAATGTATACTGAACTCACCTATTTTCTTGTATTGCTCAGAAGATATGCATTGAATTGCAAACTGTAATCTTCCATTAGTTCCTTCTCAGGTGACCAGTTTCTGGTTACTAAATTAAATGACATGAAATGTAGTTCTGTTCTGTTCTCATAGTAAAAGAAGGAAGAACCATGTTTAAGTTTAACTTTATTTCTTTCTCCCCTTACCGCCCTTTTAGAGCATTAGTATGAATGGCAAGTAAGTCTTTATCTGTGTCTTTGTATCCATTTTCTATTTCACATGAAAGCTATTTATATTTTGGTATTACTGTCCATTTAAAGGGAGAATCACTACAGCTTAAAACAGCAATGTAAATGTTGCCTTTTCATAGAACATGCAGTGTTTACATTGGTGCCTAGTAACACCTCTGGTCACACAGCCACTGGAGGGACTTTCTGGGTTCATTCTTGCCATTTCTGCAGGACCTATGTTCAGCGTTTGCACGCTCTGCATCGAGTCACTGAACTCTCTCAATGCAGCTCTATGAGGAGATGCTGATTGGCCCAGTGCTGTGCTTTATGCAATACCCTCCCAATGTTTTCCATGGGAATGCATTGGATTGGCTGAGATCATTAAGATTGTTGTATCTCAGCCAAGGAGGAGGAGCCAGTTGTAGTGAGACCATCACAGCAATGGAGTTAAGGTAAGTAAGGTACCTTTTACTGAGAGCTGCAGCTGATTTTTATCAAGTGAGTGAGCACTAAATACTGAAATATAAAACAATACTGAGTGATAAACCCAGTGCCTTTGTAGCAAATAAGCGAAGAACAGTGGAATCAAAAGCATTAAGCATTCAGGCTATTAAAGGGATACTTGTAGCACCAAAACAACTTGGCTTAAAGGGACACTCCAGACTCCGAGACCACTCCTACCCATTGGAGTGGTCTGGGTGCCAACTCCCACTACCCTTAACCCTGCAAGTGTAATTATAGCAGTTTTTCATAAACTGCACTAATTGCCTAACAGGGTTAAGTCCTCCACTAGTGGCTGTCTATAAGACAGCCACTAGAGGAGCTTCCGTGTCCTTAAAACACTTTTAGTGCTTTAAGAGATACTGGACGTCCTCACGTAATGCATGAGGACCTCCTTTCCTATGGGACGGTGTAATGCACGTGCGTGACAATTGCCACGCATGTGCATTAGGTCTCCCCCGCCGGCTGACGTTGGCAGGGTAGGAGAGTTGGCGCTGGATTCAGGTAAGTCACTAAAGAGGTTTTAACCCCCTCAGCAACCTGGGATGGGAGGTGGGAGGGACACGGGACCTGCAGTGACAGGAAAACGGTTTGTTTTCCTGGCACTGAAGAGTTCCTTTAATGAATTAACTTTGCTGTTTCGATCATGCCCCTTCAGTTTTACTGCTCTGCTATTTATTAGGTCAATCATGTTGTCTCTGACTATTATTATTATTTATATATTCAGCGCTGGACACATCTCCCATAGTTGTAACTCCCCCACACTAAATGAAAAAAAAAAATTCAACATTTTTTAACTTACAGTAAAGCATGTTTGTTTATTTCAGACAGTACTGTCTCCTGCTCTGTTAATTAAAATGTAATCATGTACAGGAGCTTGCTGAAGTCTGTATCAGACAATTAACAGAACTTGAGATAAGAAACTTCCTTTATTGCACAGTGTGTTTATAAATGCCCTGTGCAAAAAGGGACATTTAAAAATTAAAGTGACACTATAGTCACCAGAACAATTACAGCTTAATGCAGTTGTTCTGGTGAGTGTAGTCAGCCTCTGCAGGTTTTTTGGTGTGAACACAGTCTTTTCAAAGATAAGGCAGAGTTTACAGTACATCCTAGGGGGACACCTCCAATGGCCAGTCCTTACTTATAGAGGTGCTTCCTGTGGCAGTGCTGGCATGGAGACTCTGAATTTCCCCGTAGAGATGCAGCGATTCAATTAATCTCTATGAGGAGGTGCTGATTGGCCAGGGTGGCATTTGGCTCTGCCCCAGCCCACCTCCTTGGCTGAGATCATTAGAATTGATGATCTTAGCCAATCCACTGCTTTATTTCCTAAAAAAGGTAATTTTTTACTATATATTTAGGGAGGGAGTGAGGGCAGGGGTCTGATAGTGTTTTACCACTATAGGGCTAGGAATTCATGTTTGTGTTCCTGACCCAATAGTGTTCCTTTAAGCCTTTACACAGTAAGAGGGGCTGCGTGCGTTACAGTCAGGGGACATGGTGCTAGGGCACATAAACAAAGTGCTTTAACTCCTAAATGGCATAGAATTTGAGCAGTTGGATTGCAGTGGCATGATCTATATACTAAAACCACTACATTAAGCTAAAATTGTTTTGGTGCTTCGGGTGTCCATTTAATGTAAAGGTATTAATGATAGTAATTATAATTGCTTCACTTATTGATGTAGAAAACCTATTGGAAATTAACATTTTAGAATCAAGTCTTTCTCTGCATATGGTAAAGAAAAGTATAAATTTTAAAATGCATTGTCTTTCGCATATTGCATTCTATTAATCCATGTAATACATGGCTTAGAACAAAGTCAAGCTAAAACTGTCTTGATATCACACCAGATATGTGCCAACCTTGATGCAGACAACATCATGACCGTTAAGGAAAATATGAGTCAACTACAGAATCAAGTGAAAGAACCATACAAGAAAGTTGATATTGCAGACGATAAGAGAAAGGTTTGTTGTGTGTCTTAAATATAACCCAGTTCTCCTACGGACCTCTGGATAATGATGGCATTTGTTGAGTGCAGTGTATGGTGTAATTACGTGATGTCTTTTTTGCTTTCTTTTCCTACAACCTAGGATTTTTTCTCTGTCACAATCACATATCTTTCTAATATTTGAATTGTGCTTTAAACATTTGATGTGCTTCTTTGTATAACTGCTCGTTTACATTTGTAAAACTATCGTGCTTGCAGAATCCATTTGGTGAAAAAATTAAAGAAATGATGGAAAAGATTCAAAACTATGGTAAACTAACCCCAGCATCTGAATTTGGAAGTCAATCTTATGAACAGTGGGTCATTCAAAAGGACAAATCAGGTACAGTATGCACTATAAAACATTAGAATTCCTACAATGTATAGTTATTTTTTGCTAGGAGTACGCAGCTGATAGCATGGTTGTCAACTGATCTGGCAAAATTGAAATGTCATTTGGAGATTCAGGAGATGCTCGGGTATTTCATTAGTGAGAATTTACTTTAAAGAGATACCATAGTCACCAAAACAACTTTATTATTAATTATTGAAGCAGTTTTGGTGTATAGATTTTGTCCTGCAGTGTCACTGCTCAATTCTCAGCCATTTAGGAGTTACATAATTTTGTTTATGCAGCCCTAGTCACACCTCCCTGCATGTGACTTACACAGCCTTCCTAAACACTTCCTGTAAAGTCATCTAATGCTTACACTTCCTTTATTGCATATTCTGTTTAATTTAGACTTTTTTATAACCTGCTCTGTTAATAGTTTGCTAGATCCTACAGAAGCCTCCTGTGTGTGATTACAGTTCAAGTTACAGAGCAGGAGATAAAAATGAATGAATGAATCCATTTTGTTTTCTTGCAGGCTGTGTCAATCACAGCCAGGGGAGGTGTGTCTAGGGTTGCATAAACAGAAAAAAAGTGATTTAACTCCTAAATGGCAGAGAATTGAGCAGTGAAACTGCAGGGTCATATACACTATTCCAGGGGTAGACAAACTTTGGCACTCCAGATATTGCAGACTACATCTCCCAGAATGCTCTTACAGAATATTGCTGTCAGAGCATTATGGGAGATGTGGTCCACTACATCTAGAGTTCTGAAGGTTGCCTACCCATGCTCTGTTGTTTGGGGCACAAGTTAAAATGGCAGAGATTATAGAAAAAAACAATGTCTCAAAGTGGGATGGAATTTAACAAAAATGATGTTTAATTCAAAGTAGGAAGAGTGGAAGAAAATGTATACATATTTATGTTTTTGTAGCATCCTCAAGAAATGTTACTCTAGATAAGAACGTACTCTGCTTTTTGGAAATGTCCCTATGACAGACTGCGGGCTTTGCTAATATTCACATTCCACATTGTGGACCTGGCCATAATTAGCAATTTTCACACTAAAAGATCAGTTGGGATGTATAAACTAAGTAAGTTGATTAGTACTTAAAGACCTGTCGTACTTTTATTATAACGTCCCCTGGATGTTGGGCAAAAGCATCATCCCCAGGGTGTACTTGGAAACCAGAGTAATCTGAATGTACATTTCCTGGTTAAATACTTTGTTATTATTTTTTCAGCTGCTAAGGAAGGGAATTGTAAGGAACACGTTTGTGCAGTGCATCTAAAGAAATATAATGACGCCCTGATGATTAATGACACAATCAGGATGACTGATGCTTTGACTCATCTAACTAAATTTTACAATGAAGAGAGGAAGAAGAAAGCTCTGTTAGATGAGGAAAATGAAGGGACACCTGCTTCCAGTTTGAATGAAGCAGATAATTTCTTAATCGAATTATTTTACAGTAAGTGCTTACAAATGTTATATACACAACATATTTGACTTTTTAATTGTCCATTCTTACCTAAGTTCTTAACAAAATTAGGAAAAAATTTTCTTGGCATTCTAATCATGGCAAATCCTTTTTTTTTTCAACATGCTTATGTCCTGTTCTCGTATGTACAAACTGGACCATAAAAAATAATTATATTTCATTTTCTCTTTTCATTATCTTCAAGCATAAAAAAATTGCATAATTTAGCATATGCATTATTTGCTATTTCAATGAATACTAAAAATAAAAAAAAAGGTATCACTAATGTGTCAAATCATACTTATCAAATAATATTTATCTTTGACCCAGCTCTTGAGCTGGAAGAATGCCTGTTTTGAATAAAGAAATTAAAATTACATATAAATAAAAAGATTAGAAATTTTATATTCAAATTTATTCCAAGCTGATGATTCATAGATATGTTCAGTAAATATTAGAACTCTTTAATGTGCTTCTGTGTGTTTGGTCGCTGGCTCCTTCCTCTATATTTGTGCATCTAATTTATCTCAGGATTATATTATTTGCATTCCTTACCTAAAATATTTGATTGTGAGTTGAACAATATTGCCTTCTAATGATTTATTTTGTCTATTTTTTTACATTCTTTAATGTCTAACTTATTACTGCTGTGTCCAGTGTCAAAAAAATCAACACTTATTAATTACATAATTTTTCCATGTATTTGTCTTATCCAAATATGTTTCCAATTACAAATCATTTTGGTAGGGGGACACTTCTATTTTTTTATGTGCAAGATAAAAAAAAAAAAAAAGATATATATTTGTTGACTGTCCATGCAGAGCATAACAAAGAGCTGAAAAAGATGTCCGAGATACCAGAGTATGAGAATAAGAAGCTTATCTCCCTCAGAAGGTCGATCATGGAGGAATTCACCAAAAACAGAAGCTCAAGAGGAATTATTTTCACAAAAACTCGTCAAAGTGCTGTAGCTTTGTGTGAGTGGATCAGTTCGAATGAGAAATTTAAAGACGTTGGTGTGCGACCCCATTACCTGATTGGTGCTGGGCACAATAGCGATTTCAAGGCCATGACTCAGGTATGGATAATAAAAAACAAAATCAAATGCAGCACAAATAATTATTTTTAGTTAAATCAAATGGGAGAACTTAAAGGTTTTCTCCAACCACCATAACCACCTCAGTGATTTGAAGTGATCATGGTGGCGGGAGTGGATGTGCTATGTTTCTTCTGCACCCCCAGCACACATGACTTCCAGGCTGCTTAATGTCAGTTCTGTGCACACAGCATCTGCAAAGTAATGATAGACTTCCCATCCCACTGTATACTCGCTCCCAACTCCCTCCGTTGCACACAGGTCTTTTTGTTTTGTTTTTTTAAAACGCTCTCTCCCCCTTCTTACTCACCCCCCTCACCAGCTCATAGCACACGCATGCCATCTGAGCTTGCAAAATGGCCCAATTACAGGCCTCTCTATGAGAAGCTTGTGTTTGGATCATGCAACGCCTATGTGACGTTAGTTGGACGTGTAGAAGTTGCCTTGCCCTGGATTCCAGTAGTAAAATATCTTTTTTTTGCAGCTTGTTCTGCAAACAGAGGGCAGGGGGGAGTTATTCATAGTGCCTAATAAGACATTTTACACCAAAAAGTTCCCCCTCCTTCAAAGGGTTGAAGTATCCCTCTAATACTACATATTTATCTCTATCGAAAAGCATTAATTAGGAACTTGGATGCCCCTTGGTAGTTGCTTAAAGGTGGGTCATCTACAAATACTCTCTGCCCATCCATATATAAATACTGCATTAAAGAAACACTTCGGACTTCAGGTGATGCTCTTTGTAATGCATCATCTAGCTATCCCTATAACAATATGCAAAAAATAAAATAAATATAATAAGATACTAATAAAATTTAAATTTACTCAACTTTGCAGTAAATGCTTTAGTGTTCTCATCAAACAAGGAAGTGCTTCATCCAGTCGTTAAGGTCCTGCTGCATTTAAGTGCCAATCATATGACATAAATGTCAGGATTACAGAATGATCCAGCACATAGAATTGTGTAACACAGAGGACTGATAGGTAACGTATACCGGACCTTAGAATGGCCGGACTAACGTACCAAAGAATAGTCAGGAATAGCCGAGGTCAAGAGAAACAGAAAGAGACACAACAATAAGGAAAAGCCAGGGGTCAGGGATGCCAGAAAACAGGGAAGTCAAAATCAATGCCAAAGTCAAATAACCAGAATAACCAGAATCAATAACACGCTCTCGGACAACCACAAGGGAAACCATGACAGGGCACTGAGCAAGAGGAGAACTGGGCCTAAATACCCCACCTGTGGTTGTAACCGGCTTTTGACCCCAAAGGCAGTTACCAGGTTCCTATTGGCATGATTGCTGCTCAGCACAAACCCTGCTGTGGATTGATTGCTGCTGGACAGTAATGTTGCTCGGCACGACTTTTCCTGCCAGCACAGTAAATTCCATTAATCACATTTTTTATGTGCGGATGAATACGTGACAATAAACAATTGAACTGCTGAAATCTTTTTAAAGATCTAGTTTTTAAAAGATGTAGTTCAGCTGTTTGTTAATCTGATATATTAAACAAGTTGTAAATATGTGATTTATGTGGAGGAAAGACAAGAAGGGGGATGGGATAAAAACATATAAATACATAAAGGGAATCAACACAGTAAAGGAGGAGACTATATTTAAAAGAAGAAAAACTACCACAACAAGAGGACATAGTCTTAAATTAGAGGGACAAAGGTTTAAAAATAATATCAGGAAGTATTACTTTACTGAGAGGGTAGTGGATGCATGGAATAGCCTTCCAGCTGAAGTGGTAACGATTAACGCAGTGAGGGAGTTAAAACGAGTGGGATAGACATAAGGCTATCCTAGCCAGAAGATAAGGCCAGGGGCTAATTATTATTATTATTATTTTATTATTTATATTGCGCCATCAGATTACTAATGAAAGTATTTAGAAAATTGGGCAGACTAGATGGGCCGAATGGTTTTATCTGCCGTCACATTCTATGTTTCCAAGTAAAGTGGCAAAATACATTTTCACATCAAACTGGATAATGTTGTTAAAAATAACAAATACGTATATATATTATTTTAATAAGTTATTATTATATTTGACTAATTTATTATTTTATTTTAGAATGAGCAAAAGGAAGTGATTAATAAATTTAGCACTGGAGATCTTAATCTTCTACTTGCCACCAGTGTGGCTGAAGAAGGCTTGGATATCAAAGAGTGCAACATCATCATTCAATATGGAATGATCACCAATGAAATAGCCATGGTTCAGGTATGTTGACTTCCTTCATATCTAACAAAGTTCTTTTGCTAAGATTCACTAAATGGGCGCAGCTAAAAATAATAAGGGAGAGCAACCGTTGACTACAGAAAGAAGCAAATACCACTCTATGTTTTAGAGCTGAAGTGGATTAAAATTAGATTTCCTTCTGCTGTTAAACTGCTGAACAAAATATAGATATTAAGTGTTGTTAAATTACAGCTCACAAGATTTTTAATCAGTCTAAAGTTGCATGAGAAAACTAAGTTTTAGTTCACCAGCAACCATAAATATTCACTTATGAAACTACTAATTATTAATATTATTATTTCAATTATGAAGTTAAACTGGAGTGAATTGATATATACCTTAGAGCTCATTTAGAAAACAATATGTGTATATTTTCTAATGTGTTTGCACAACCAGCCAAATTTAACAAAATAAATAATTGTAGAACATATGTATATGGTCTGGCAGCAGGATAAGTTTCCTAATGGCCAAATAACCTTTATCCAAGTGCAACTACTTAATGGGCCATATATATCAAATGATTGTCAGACAGCTTTAAAAGGTGTTTTTGTGATATGTAGATGAGTGTACCTGATTCCTTTGAAACTCAGATATTCACACAACATCTTGAAATAATTGATATACATTCTGTTTCACCTTTTTTAATACCTAGGCTCGTGGTCGTGCAAGAGCTGATGATAGTACCTATGTGCTTGTGGATTCAAGTTCAGCTGGAGCTGTTGAGCGTGATAGCATAAATGAAGATAAAGAAAAGATGATGTACAAAGCTATTAAAAAAGTGCAAGAAATGCCTCGTGCTGATTACTTGGAAAAGGTAATTTGTATTTTTTTTTTTTTAAATGACCATACCAAATTACTTTGTTGCAATAGTGATACTATTGTCAACTACAAAGACATCCTCACGGAATCCCATACAGAGGTTAGCACATGACTGTGCAAAGTTTGCCCCCATTTCTGTGCCCTGTTTTTGGCGATAGTAGTTCCCATTAAAAAGAAAGCAAAAGGCTGTGTCAATAAAATAGCTTTAAGTACAGATTTCCATTGCTAAATTTAAAGGACTTGTCCAGTGTAAGATATTTTAATGACCAAAAATAACTATAATAAGCAAGAGAAATATGATATTGTTAATATTATGTGATGGAAACAAAAATATAATTATACTTAATTGAGAGATTCTTTTATTTTTTTAATAGAAGTTTCAATAAATATATTGTCCCCAATTATATTACTTGCTACTGACTATTAATTAGATTGTATTACCTATGAATCTTATCCCTCTCTTGTCTCAACATTTCTGTTGGTGAATTATTCATTTTACATTTTTTGTTTGCTTGTTTGTTTACCATATTTGAATATTATTGTATGCAATATAAAAAAACAACAAACCTAACATCTGTATTATATGATATAGAAACTATGAACAAGGAAAGGTTAAATGAACTTAACATAGCTTAGAGGAAAGGTGAGACAGGGGAGATATGACAGACACATTTACATACATAAAGGGAATCAACACAGTGAAGGTGGAGACTATATTTAAAAGAAGAAAAACTACCACAACAAGAGGGCATAGTTTTAAATTAGAGGGGTAAAGGTTTAAAAATAATATCAGGAAGTATTACTTTACTGAGAGGGTAGTGGATGCATGGAATAGCCTTCCAGCTGAAGTCGTAGAGGTTAACACAGTAAAGGAATTTAAGCACGCGTGGGATATGCATAAGGCTATCCTAACTGTAAGATAAGGCCAGGGACTAATGAAAGTATTTAGAAAATTGGGCAGACTAGATGGGCTGAATGGTTCTTATCTGCCGTCACATTTTATGTTTATATAAATATTTTTTCTTCTAGATACAAGAGTTTCAATTTGAAAACATTATTGAGAAAAGAGTGAAAAAAAAGAAAAATATGCGGAAAGAATTTAAACATGATCCAAAAGTGGTTACATTCTACTGTAGGAAATGCAGTAGCCTGGTTTTCTCTGGGAATGATATATATGTCATAGGAAACATGCACCATGTCATTACATCAGAGAATTTTAAGTAAGTACATAGAACATATTTTGTTATAACTTGGATAGACCTGCAATGATCTTTATGTGAATACCAAGGAATAAGAAATCTTAAATCCCCAAAAGTGTGTATGCAATTATTTGTGGTTGGAGATTGCTCTCTGGAGAAATCAATGTCTGGATTATTCTTCCGGTTATGCCCTCTCCAATAGCAGGATACAACAAATTGTGATGCACAGACACCTATGTGATAAATGTGGAATGAATGTGAGGGCTAAGAATTTTGTATCTTCTAGGTTTCTTTCCTGGCTTGATAAGGAAGAATTGGAACTGCGTTTCTTTCCAAATATCAAGTACCATTGCTACTTAACCTGGGAATACTTCAACTTAAACCCAGCATGTGTAGCTTATTCTATAACCAAGTATACCTTCTAGTCATTGGTGTTAATTGTCCATGGTTCCAACCTTGGTTAGTTTTAAGATTGTAATACTTGTCTTGGGATATTGCATCCAGGCTCATGAACTTGTCTGGTTTTGTTTTGTGTTTCGCTTTTTGGTATCTAGATTTTCTGCAACATTTACATCTTGCTTTTTTTAATGTTTTGGAAGAATTCTGCATTCTCTGACCTGGATTAATTAACAATGCTTTTAGCTACTGATTGGAATATAAACGTCCGATGCTGTGTGGGTTCCATAGTACAATAGCTCAAAATTCTGTGTTCAAGCCACGGTGGGAAGCAATCATCCAGTCTAGACTCCTTTACTTGGCAATTCTTTACTTCAGAAGTAACTTTTGGAGGAAAACCAACTTTAAAGATGACTCTGGATACCGGTTAATAAAGAACGTAAAGGAGTACATGATGAAACTCACAATGCACCACTGTTTACGTATCATATAAATGCACCCAAATCATTCTTTCTTCTAATTCTCTTTCTTGTCATTTCAGAGAACTCTATATTAAGGGAGAAAATAAATCTTTGCAAGAAAAACGTGCAGATTATGAGACAAATTGTGAAATTTTATGCAAAAAATGTGGAAGAGTAAGCATTGCATCCAATAAAGGATTTTTTTTTAATATTAAAATGTGTATGCACAACATAACATAATAGTCTTACCTGAATAGAGGCTTCTAAATTTACATGCTGTTGATCTAATATTAACACTTTAAATTTTTCCACATAACGGGAAAAATATTTATTCCTCCCTATAGTGGTAGGAAAGTGGTGTGCTTAAGGTCACATGTGAAGGAATATAATTCAATGTTATTTGACCCCTAAGGATCAGTAATGAGTTATAGAATCAAACCATTCCGGTCTTCAAATATTCTTTTCTTGCATGCTATACTTTCCATGATATTTGATTTATTTGTAAATCAAATGTAAATTAATTGAGCATAGAGTCAGAGGGTTAAATAAATAAATAAATAAAGAATCTTAGCTGCCAACAATGTGCCGAGTAGATGGTAACAGGTTGTCTACCCAACAATTTAGAATAATGAACTACAAGGAGTGAACCTTTGAATGGAAAGAAACTCTAAAAAAAAAGGAGAGAAATGACCACATAAGTAAAATAAGCTCATTGTTATTAAGTCATATTGTAGTTATGGTAATAAACACAATAAACAAAGACCTAGTGTTTGTGAAAAACGTGAAAAACTAACAAGCATTTAAAAAAAAACAAACAATGATATATACATAGACTGACAGGGAGACGTGTCAGTTTAACATATACAAAGTACAAATATTCTACATATATTTCCTACATTGAGTCATAGTCACAAGCTGATAGAAAAAAAACTAAATAAACCAGAATCTTAGCAAGGTTAAAGAGGCAAAAACAGGGTGTCTACCCAACAATTTAGATTAATGAACTAGGAGTGAATGTTATAAAGGGAAGACACTCCCCAAAAAGGAGAGAAAGTGCCTCAAAAGTAAATAAAAAAAAGATCACTTTTATTAAGTCATAATGTACTTATGGTAATAAACAAACAAACAAACAAAGACCTAGTGATAAACTTGCAAAAATTAAAAAACAAACCATATATACATAGACTGACGGGGAGACGTGTCAGTTTAACATATACAAAGTATAAATATCCTCCATATCTTTCCTACATTGAGTCATACTGGAAAAAGTACAGGACAGTGAAAATGTCTTTTTTAAACTGAGGGTACTGTAACTGGGGTGAGATAAATAGGGCTTCTATATTCTAATTTTATTATCATAGGTCTCCCAAAGCTTTGTAAATACCCCCAAAACACACATAAACTATATCAAATATCGATTTATATCAAACGAGTACCATACTAGTAACTTATGAATAGAGATGTCGAAACCGTTTGCGAACTTCCCGCGAACGGCTCGCCACAAACCGTTCGCGGTGAGCTCCGGTCAGCTGACATATCCCGGCCAATCTCCAGCAGACCCTCCCTCCCAGACCCTCCCACCTCCTGGACAGCATCCATGTTGAAGGCAGCTTGAAGGCAACTACTTATGAAGATGTCTCCCAGGATAGAAACATACTGCTACTAATGAATCACCTAAGAACAGAGGCAGATCCCTACGTGTAAAGGTCATCGCAATGTCTCTGATTTTTGGAAATGTCTTTTCTTTATAAAGTTCACTCCTTTTAGCTAATTATTCAATAACTGAACAGGTTTTTTTTAGCATATCTGATATCAGAATAAAGTTTTTTTTATATCAAGATATATAAAAAACCAAAAAACGCCAATACTTCAAATGTATTAACAGTAGCTCATGGAGGATTTTATCCTGAAGGCCTTTATTATGCCAAATCAATGGAAAGATCGAGATTTCCAACACCATCGTTGTCTTTATAAAGTCTTATTTCAAATGTGACTGTTTCATACAAAGGATAAAAACATATTAAACGAAGTAATGCAAATGAGCCTAGGGAGTTTCTGTAGTAGTAAATGGTGGAAACATACACATCGAAATATTGTGAACATTGTATTGTTTGAGCCAGGATATAGCAACATGTAAAACATGTACACTTATTTGAAGAACAAGTGCTTTGATCTCATGCTCAGTATTTTCTCCCTAGAATAATGGGCATAGATTTACCCAAGCTATGGCCACTGCTATTTTCTTAATTGATTGATAGTTCTGATTGGAATCCACAAATACTGCCTAAATATATATATATATTTTTTTTTCAGCCATGGGGAACGATGATGATGCACAAAGGCTGTGATCTACCTTGTGTGAAAATCCGTAACTTTGTTGTTAAATACAAGGCAAAGAAAATTACTCCTGATACATTCGAGCAGTGGAGAGACTTGCCCATTAGCTTTCCTGCTTTTAAGTGTGAAGACGTGGAGATTACCAGTGATGAAGATGAAGATGATTAAATTTATTTAAAAAAAAGCACATTCTAAATTTGCATCTGGCAAAATAAATCTTAATTCTTCAATATATATATATATATATATATTATACGTGTATATTTAATGTCTGGGCTTGTCTATTGGTTACCCTGCTGTATGTTCCTGCTGTAAGCAAATCTGTTTTTAATTTAATTTCTGGATTAAATGTGTGATTTTTATATTTGTGTAGTCATTATTTCTCCCACTAAAATCCATTACCCTTATCTGTCAATTACAAGGCTGTATAGTTCGATACTCATCTAGGTTAAAGGTTGAACTCAATGGACTTGAGTCTTTTTTTCAAAGCATAAATTCAAAGTGAATTTCAAATTTCCGGTCACAGTAGCCAAACTAGAAACATTTTGGAAGCCAGCCATGCGTTCACATTGGCTACCGTGGCCTTAAATTTGACATTCACTCTGAATTCTCACTTTGACAAAATCTTTTGTGTGATTCAATACACATAACAGTAAAATACAGAAAATGTTCTTCTGCAAGTCCTGGGAGCTCCCTTACCTCCTACTTGGAAATAATGTGCAGGGGAAAAAAATCTATTGCAACTAAACATTGAAATGTATGTGGTAAAGTAAAACAGATTATAATCTATTCACCCCTTAGGGGACGAAAAACAAAACCATGGCACTAAAAAGTAATATCCTTATTTATCAAAAAATGAAGTATTAATGTCTCCATTGCTATGTGGTTTAAATAGCCATGCTGCTGCTCAAGGGCATGGTCGGTGGCAAAGACACCAGGGCTAAATCACATTTGACTCCAATCTACCATATTGACCACAAATCATGATTTATTAACCATGCATCCCACTACAACAACCCCACACTGTGCTGTATAATTAAATCCAAATATGATGCATTAAAGTGGCACTCTCATAAATTATGTAGCTGGATTTGGTATTAGAGGGGACATGGAGCTAACAATGACATTGTGCCTAAATTAGACAAAATGACTTTTCAGGCCCACACTTGGAGCTCCAGCCCATGCCATCTCTCCTAGCATTGGCTCGAATGCTGATGAATTCAGTTACAATTAGAAATCCATTTAAAAAAACCAATGGTATTGCCTATCATGACTTGCAGGTCTTTCTTCCTAGTTAAATCTATTTACCCAGAATAATTGCCAAGAAAGCACAACTTTATTGGGAAAGCAAGTTTAAACCTGTTAATTATAGCTGTAAAGGTGTTACCTATAACATGCCTTTTTTCCATAAATAGGCTTGTGGGAAGAGATAAGTAAGAGGAGTCTTGGCCAGTGTCCAATATTGTCCAGTCAGCTTTAATAGCAGACCTGCAGGGACAGTTTTAAATAGTGTCTGTCCTCCAGTGTCTGAGGCTGGAGAGGAATGGATCACTTCTCATCTGCTTACTAGTAACCTCTGACACACATGCATGTGCACCCTACATACACACACACATGCCCTATACACATGCCCTATACACACACACACGCCCTATACACACACACACGCCCTATACACACAGCCACCAAACATGTATGAACAAGGACATGATATTTTATTATGATAGAACACAACTATTTAGCAACATATAACTATTTACACACACATTAACACATGGACACATGATACACACAATCTTACATACATACAGACATGTTATAATAATTTGACTTGCAGTCAACTTCCTGTTAGCTTACCTGGAGGGTCCCTGGAGGGTCCCTTGCTTTGATTCCTGACTGCTGCTAAAGCGAGTAAGCATGTAGGACAAGCATGTGAAACTCACGGGCCGCGGGCCACGGGCCGCATGCGGCCCACAAGGACCATCTTTGCAGTCCGGCGAGCCGTGAGTGCATGCTCAGTGTTATAGCAAAATAGGCACCAGCTTTCCCCATATTGCAGGTGCCTACTCTGCTAACACTTACCCGGCCGGGGAGGAGGGCCAGTGAGGGAGCTCAGTGTTCCAGCTCCTCACTGCTCCCTCGCGCGCGTCGACTGAAGTGAAGCCGGGCGCCGGAATATGACGTCATATTCCGGGACCCGGCATCACTAAACCGCTCAAGAGAGCAGTGAGGAGCAGGAATGACTCAAGGGAGATGCCACACATCTGCTCCATAAGGTAAGGAGCAATAACGAAAAGTGTGTGTAAGTGTGTGAGTGTGTGTCTGTCTGTTTGTGAGTGTGTGTGTCTGTGTGTGTGTATGTCAGCAAGTATGTGTGTGTATGTCAGTGAGTATGTGTGTGTCTGTATGAGTGTGTCTGTCACAGAGTATGTGTGTGTGTCTGTGTGTGTGTGTCAGTGTGTGTGTCTGTCTGTCAGTGAGTGGGTATGTCTGTCAGTGATTATCTGTGTGTGTGTCTGTATGTGAGTATGTTTGCGTGTGTTTGTGTGTGTGTGTGTATCTGTCTGTGTGTCTGTGTGTGTCTGTCAGCAAGTATGTGTGTGTCTGACAGTGAGTATGTGTGTCTGTCTGTGTGTCTGTATGTGTGTGTCTGTCTGTTTGTGAGTGTGTGTGTATGTCAGCAAGTATGTGTGTGTATGTCAGTGAGAGTGTGTGTGTCTGTCAGTGTGTCTGTATGAGTGTGTCTGTCACTGAGTATGTGTGTCTGTCTGTGTGTGTCTGTCAGTGAGTGTGTGTGTCAGTATTTCCAGAATATTATATATGCTTATGTGTGTGTCTGTATGTATGTGTGTGTGTCTGTATGTGTGTGTCAGTGTGTCTGTCTGTGTGTGTGTCTGTTTGTGAGTGTGTGTGTGTCTGTCAGTGAGTATGTGTGTGTCTGTCAGTGTGTCTGTATGTTTGTGTGTCTGTCAGTGTGTCTGTATGTTTGTGTGTCTGTCAGTGTCTGTATGTGTCTGTGAGTATGTGCGTGTGTCTGTCTGTAAGTATGTGTGTGGGTCTGTCAGTGAGTGTGTGTCTGTCTGTCAGTGAGTATGTGTGTGTGTGTGTGTGTGTGTGTGTGCAGCCCACATAAACTTAAACCTTGTTTATGTGGCTTGTGCCACACTTTGAGTTTGACATGCTTGGGAGCTCACTCTAGCCACTCCTCTGCCTTCATGTTGCCTGTGTGCCCCAGCCTTCTCCTTCTCACTCCCGCGCGGCTGTATTTTTAGCTGGGAGGAAGTGACAAGCTGTCTATCCTTTCCTCCCAGCTGGTTGATATTTCAGGGCCGGTTGGCTCTTAAAAGGCCGCGGCACCCAACCCGGCCTCTGTTCATCGATAACATCCATCGGGTGGATAATCAGAAGGGGCATTTATTGAGGGTTTTAAGCATATATAATATTCTGGAAATAACACACACACACACAATCTGGTATATATATTGTGTGTGATTTTCAGGATATTGTATATGAATTGTGGGTGTCAAGGAGCTGTATTAAAAATGTGATAGTCTCACAGAACTACTGGGGATGTCTGAGCATGGGAAGCAGTTGGTGATGCACACTGTATAACCACTCCTTCAGCTCTAATATCAATCTTAGGAGTTTAACTGGACTATAAAGATATAAGAGGGTGAGTATTTTGCAAATAACTCTTCAAACTCCACCACACAAAGCCCAAACATGAAAATAAATCCTTTACCTTCACTGATCAGCCAGAATTTTAAAAGCCCTTACAGGTGAAGGGAATAACACAGATTATATTGTTACAATGGCACTTGTCAAGGTGTGGGAAATATTAGGCAGCAAGTGAACAGTCACTTCTTGAATTTCATGTGTTGGAAGCAGGAAAAATGGTCAAACAAAAAGATCTGAGTGACTATCACAAGGGCCAAACAGATGGCTAGATGACTGGGTCAGAGCATCTTCAAAATAGCAAGTCTTGTGGGGTGTTCTTGGTATACAGTGGTTAATACCTACCAAAAATAGTGCATGTAAGGACATCTGGTGAACCTGCTTCAGGTCATGGGTGCCCAAGGCACATGTCCAGCCATTTGGTCCACACAGAAGTGCTACTGTAGATCAAATTGCTGAAAAACTTTATGCTGGCCATGAAAGAAAGGTGTCAGAACACACAGGGCATTGCAGTTCGCTGTGTATTGGACTGCATAGATGCAGACTGGCCAGAGTGTGCCCATGATGACACCTGTCGAAAGTGCCTTCAATGGGGACATGAGTGTCAGAACTGGACCATTTAGCAGTGGAAGAAGTTTTCCTATTCTTATGTATCCTGTTTTTTGTAGATCAGGTGGATTGTGAAGTGTGTGTATATCATTTTCCTATGGAACAGATGGCAGCATGATGCACTATGGGAAGAAGGCTGGTGAAGGCAGTGTTATGCTCTGAGCAACGTTCTGCTAGGAAACCTTGTGTCCTGGTTTTCATGTGGACGTTCAGGGCAGCCATCAGTGGGTGACAACCATGACGGTTGTCACAGGCCCGGTGGCCCTGGGGGAGCCTGGGGGGCCCGGCCGCCATGGCCCCACGTGTAGCGGCAGAACTGCCGCCGGTGCAGTTAAACCAGTGCTCACACACTGATGGGGCCCATCAGGTGGCCCACGCACTTTGGGTCATAAATCTTCAGGGGCCCGGTCAGCGTTGTGGCCGTGGTATAGCACGACCGGTCCCCTTTAAAAAAAAAAAAAAACGCAGCCGCACTTCCTCCCAGCTCACTCTGCACAGGAGGAGCGCGCGCCCGGCAGTGAGGGAGAGCCAGCAGACTCCCAGTCCCATCAGCCCCAGCCACCCTCCTGCAAAGAAAAGGTAAGAAACAGGAGGGTGGCTGGAAAATGAGCTCTGTATGTGTGTCTGTATGAATGCATGCATGTCTGTCTGTATGTATGTATGCATGTATGTATGTATGCAAGTATGTTTGTATGTCTGTCAGTATGTCTGTATGTATGTATGCCAGTATCAATGTATGTCTGTATATCATTATGTATGTCTGTCAGTATGTATGTATATATGTATGTATGTCTGTCAGTATGTCTGTATGTATGTATATATGTATGTATGTATATATGTCTGGATGTCTGTCAGTATGTATATATGTATGTATGTATATATGAATGTATGTGTATATGACTGTATGTCAGTATGGATGTATGTCTGCATGTCATTATGAACATATGTCTGTATGTATGTGTGTATGGATGTCTGTATGCATGTATGTATGTCTGTCAGTATGTATGTATATATGTCTGTATGTCTGTCATGTATGT